AAGGACTAGTAACCTGCATTATATAAAATTTTAATGTTTGTGTTTTGATACCCATTACATAAGGAGCAATTCATGTGTTAAAAAAGGAAAAACACCCCGTGCACATCAATGCGCTGCAATATAGAGTGTTTCCAAAATCTCTTGCAAGCAGTATTTTTTGTGCATTAACAGGCATTAGGCATCTGTTTTATATACATGTATATATCTGCACATTGGAATAACTCTGTTCTTCAATGTTTTTGCTCCAAATGTGCACAGTAATGAAAAGCCTCCATAAAATTGTACTTTTATTTTAGGATTAATTAGTTGGGTGTTAGAACCTCTGTCAAGTTTTATTGCCATCCTGTGTTTCCTTTGCGGAGATTTACTCTCTCTGTTACGTTGTCACCAGAACATAAATATAAAGGAAAACAAATATCTAAAATCGCCATTCTCTCACTAGGAGGACAGATTTCCTTTTATTTCCTGTTGCAGGACAGAAAGTGAAGGGTAATCTCCTCAATGTGACACAATAACCAAAGAAAACCGGACAGGGGTTTAAACCATTCTCCATCTAAAAAAAAAAAAAAAAAAAAAACAAAAAAAAAAAAAACTAAGTTTGACTTTAGATATACTTGTGTTAGTAATAGCTCTTAAAACGTTTTAGGCTTACTGGTTCTTTTAGTAATAAAATTGAGCCTTTCACTGTAACAGTATGAGAGCTATTTTTTTTTACTCAAAATAGAGAAAGTCCATACATTTGTGAAGATAAAAATAGAAGGTTGTTCATGAGATAAGAAATCATGCAGCAATGAAGCTGGACTGTTTAAAATAAATCCCTAAAATTATCTTGTAGTTTTCTAGTTGTTTTGCTTTTCTTGGTTCTCCTCTTCAATCCATATATGATAACCTTTCCCACTATCATAGTCAGCTGAATTGTACTAAGCTCAAACACCACATGAAAAAAAAAAATTAAAAAAATGACCCATCCATGAAGGAAACATTGACAGCAGGAGTAGCTCCTCGTCTTCTTTATTTAGTCTTTTTCCAGTAACTGTGAAAGATCAGATATTGATCATACGACCAGCTCCACATTCTAATTATATACCCAATCATGTGATTGCCGTGACAGCGAATCACGACGGTCACATGACCCTAAAACCCCGCCCTGCCTCCCGTCTTCTGGAACCCTTAAAGGGCCGGGAGGCACTGGCGCCAAGGGGTTACGTAGATCTTAACCTCAAGATTATCAACCCCACACTAAAAAGTGTGATACTGCACCTGTGTGCGCTATCCAGCACGAACCCTTATACATATTGGATAAAGCTAATACAAGTATACTTAAAGTGTTACTAAACCCCACGATAGTAAAATCCGTCTATATATCCAATAATATATGCTTGTAATACTAGCTGTGGAACCTAAGGGGTTAATCCTCCGCATTGTGTAAAAAGGCTGATTGATCCCATCTCCTCTGATTCTCTCCTTCTTCCACAATTCCCAATCCATCTGCTGATAGTAAAGAGCCCTAGGTGGCACTCTGCACATACTCAGTTTGCTGAGTATTGCTAGTTTGTTTTTTGTTTTTTTTTGGAGGGTGCATGTGATCAGCACAGGGTCAATCAGAACTGTCCAGACAGAGGACAGTCAGAGGAGAATGAAAACTCCTACAAGCTTTAAGCTTTGGCCGGACACTGATAGAAGTTACAAGACTGCTATATACTGCTGAGGAGAAAAGGTATTTAGCAGTTTATATTTACTAAAATAATTGAATTTTTATGTTCTGTGTACTGTGGGAGATCAGATATAGTGAATGCAGGGTCATGGGTGTAGTAACACTTTAAATTTGCAGGTACAGACAGATCATGGATTTCGGTTCTTCTTGTAGACTCATCTTCTACTATTTTTATGCAAAGTTGAAAGAATTAGGTTTTAGCATCTTCTGAAAATGCCCATAATATTTTTTTATTATTTTACCAGAACGCGTTTATTGGATGTTTTGCAATAAACAGGTACAAACCGTGACAGTGCAAACTCTGGGGAGTAAATTATATATACTTTTATATACAATACAGTTTGCAAACTGTTCTAGGATTAAAGTAAACATATGTCATAATAGAGATGTGGAGGTTGATATTACTTTCCACCTTCTGAACATGATGCTTGGCTATCAAAGTAACACTGGCTTCAATACCTTTTCAACCATTGACCTGGATATAGTAAGTAGATGATAAAATATCTTTTAGATTTTTCCAGAAGATTTTTTTAATTTTAATGCATTCCTGCATTAGGGCAGTGTTTCTCAACTCCAGTCCTCATGGACCCCCAACAGGTCATGTTTTCAGGATTTCCATTATTTTGCACAGGTGATTTGATCAGTTTCACTGCCTTAGTAATTACCACAGCTGTTTCATCTGAGGGAAATCCTGAAAACGACCTGTTGGGGGTCCATGAGGACTGGAGTTGAGAAACACTGCATTAGGGGAAATAGTCCCGATCCAGCGCTGTGCCTGAGCAGCAGTGCTGCTCTCTCTCCCCTCACTGGACATGGAGGCAGCAGTGGGAGCCATTGGCTCCTGCTGATGTCAATCAAATCCAGGGAGGAGGGAGTGGGGGGGGGGTGAAACTGAGCTGCACAGTGTGCATCAACAGATGCAGTACCCCTATAGTAAGCGGCTTGCTATGGGGGCACTTGGGAAGAGAAGCCAGGAGAGAGGGATCCCAAAAGAGGAGGATCGGGGCTGCCTTGTGCAAAACCATCACACAGAGCAGGTAAGTAGGACATGTTTATTACTAAAGAACATTTTTACCTGTACAAATCACTTCAACTGCACCTTGCAGTTACAGCTCAATCCCTAAAAAATTTTCACAGCTAGGTAGATACAACAATGTTATAGCAAAATCTTGCAGCACAATTTACAGATCTACAAGTGGGAACTCCTTGCTGGATCTGTAACACTCCCAGTCATTACTAATTCTTGTAAACTACTGTATTTTTCACTCCATAAGATGCACTTTTTTCTCCCCAAAAAATAGGGGAAAATGTCTGTGCGTCTTATGGAGCGAATATGGAGCGGCTCGCCCGGTATTCCATCCGCCGCGTTAGACTACTGGGCCGGCCACTCGGCTCTACTGTGCAGAAGAACCCGCTCCTCCGTCCTACCTGTTTCTCAATCCAATGGTGTCCTGCTTCTATCGGCTGTCTTCTCTCCCTAGCATCTTCTGTGTGGGCACCTGGCTATGTCCGCAGTCTCTGGTCATCTCCTGTACTATGTCCGCAGTATCAGGTCATCTCCTGTACTATGTCCGCAGTCTCTGGTCATCTCCTGTACTATGTCCGCAGTCTCTGGTCATCTCCTGTACTATATCCGCAGTCTCTGGTCATCTCCTGTACTGTGTCCGCAGTCTCTGGTCATCTCCTGTACTATGTCCGCAGTCTCTGGTCATCTCCTGCACTATGTCTGCAGTCTCAGGTCATTTCCTGTACTATGTCTGCAGTCCATTGGTTCAGAATTTTTTTTCTTGTTTTCCTCCTCTAAAATGTAGCTGCGTCTTATGGAGTGAAAAATACGGTAATACTGAGGTTATGTTTTATATTTTTGTTTTATAAATGGGTTCTAAAATGCATAAAGGGGTGTGGAAATTTTTTAAATCTACTTGTCCACAGACTAAATTGGGGCCCCAATCTACTTGTCTCTCATGACAATTTACTTGTCCTGATAAAAAAAAAAAAAAAAAAAAAAAAAAAAAAATTTTGCCAGGGTGGAACATATGGAGGTCTGATTTTTTTCATTAGGCAGACGTGCTTTTAGGAATGTCTGGGGTTTTTGAAAATAAAGGAGGCTTTATGGAGACCTAAACTTTTATTATTTTTTGCTAGAAAATGTCTTAGAATTCCAAACATTATATATTTTTTAAAGCAGAGGTCCTTAAGAATAAAATTGTTGGGTGTTGCAATTTTCAATGTCACACAGTATCTGCGCAACAGTTTTTCAAACACAAATTACACTTTTTTTGTTTATTGTAATGCAAAAAAACACAATACACGACCCATTAAAATAAATGAGATGATGTCACACCAAGTAAATAGATACCAAACATGTCACACTTTTAAACTGTGCACACCCGTGCAACGGCAACAAACGTGGTAAATTTACTATCCATAGGCGATGCTTTAAAAGCCTTTACAGGTTACCACTTTAGATTTACAGAGGAGGTCTGGTGCTAGAATTACTGCTAATGATCTAATGATTAATGATCTGATGTTTGCAGCGATACCTCACATGTGTGGGACAATCGCTGTTTGCAGGTGTGCGGCACTGACGCATGCGCTCGCCTTTGCGCATGAGCATGGGGGGGGGATGGGACATCCCTCCTCTGTACATAAAGCATTTGATCACACCAAGATTAGTGTGATCAAATGCTTTTTTTGTTTTAAAAAATGAGGCTGTTTACATCCGGGGAAACCGGATGTGATGTATGCTCATCGCTTCCGGTTTCCTATATCTTAGGCCGACATAACGTTTTCAGTCTTTGTCCACCTTATGATCAGCTGAAGGAAGCGGGCGACTGGTTGATTGGGTGTCCCAGTGGAATGGAACAGCCCATGATTTGCGGTGGGACATCCCCTCCCGCTGCTTGTAAAGGCAATCCAACGGCTAGTTAGCTTTTCAGATTGCTTTTACAAGAGAGCCAGTCCGGAGAGTGAGGGTGTCACAGGGGATGTATGGGGGGCGAGGACTGGCATAAGCCATGCTCTCAGCCTAGGCTCCAACTTGTGTGGTGTGGTGTCTGCATGTTATAGCTGCCACCAAAGAGAGATTTAGAGACAATCAATTTATTGCCATATGGAGCTGAACACCACCGGTATGAATATTTAACTTAGAAAAAAAAAAACCATTGGCATAACTAAGACTGTTCTTTCTTGGTGGTATCTACCCCTTGAATTTTACATAGAAATAGCTTAAGAAATAGAAATAGCTTAAGAAATTTAACAAAAAGCAGTTAAAAATATTAGCAGTAACAAGATAATTTCTGCAAATGTCACTTTGCCATGAAAATAAAAAAAAACTTACCTTTTCTCTATTTGATTTAGCTGGGGCGTTCTCCAAGTCTGTTTCTTCATCTGATGCCACACTGTCATAATCTGGCTGGTCATTATCTTGACTTTCTGTACTATGTTGGTTACTTATACTTTTTAACACTAATTCCACATTATCTGCAATTGAACATACAGGTGGTGTATAACGTAACTGGAGCAGTAAATTTCCAATTGTTCTACACATATTTCTTTTGAACATACAATGCATGCTGCCTCATACAAATTGGTTTATTTGTTTGGAAAGTAATGTGCAATAGCTATGTGCTGCAGCACACAGCAACCATTACATCCATTACAGCTTTTGTTAGAGTAACACACCCTAGAAAACATCCCCTGGGTAAGCAACAACCTATCCATACACTTAGGCTACATACAAAGTATGGTTACACATTATGTGTGTCTGCATAGCAAGTGTTAAGTACAGTTTTGTTCAAAAGTTTGCATACTTGGCAGAAATCGTGACACTGAAAATATGGTTGATCATGCCAAAACTGTCTTTTATGTAAGGATAGTGATCATATGAAGCAATTTAATATTACATGTATAAATCACCGTATTTCTCTAAGTCAAAAGAAAAAATGACCTTCAAAATACAAACTGCGCTATAAAAAATGACACGTGTATACCCCAAAACTAATAGATAATCAGCTGCCACATTCCACTGTGAAAAAAAAATACAAATAAATCATATTCTGTAATAACAAAATATTAGTGAGCGCTGCACTAATATTTTTTTATTACAGAATATGATTTGTTTGTATTTAATGATACATAGCTGTTTGCCTCCTTTTTAAAATCATAATAACAGAAATCATACAACTGGCCCTAATAAAAAGTTTACATACCCTGGAATATTTGGCCTTGGTACAGACACACAAGGTGACACACACAGGTTAAAATGGCAAGTAAAGGTTAATTTCCCACATCTGTGGCTTTTTAAATTGCAATTAGTGTCTGTGTATAAATAGTCAATGAGTTTGTTAGCTCTCACATAAATACACTGAGCAGGCTAGACACTGAGCCATGGGGAGCAGAAAAGAACTGTCAAAAGACCTGAGTAACATAGCAATGAAATTTTATCAAGATGAAAAAGAATATAAAAAGATATCCAAAGCCTTGAATATGCCAGTCAGTACTGTTCAATCACTTATAAATAAGTGGAAAGTAAAGAGATCCAGTGATACCAAGCTTAGGTCAGGTAGACCAAGAAAGATTGCAGCCACAACTGCCAGGAGAATTTTTCAGGTTACAAAAAAAAACCCACAGGTAACCTCAGGGGAAAGCATACACGTAGGTGAACAACTCCACACAGTCTCCTGCGCTCTGAAGTATTCCTTTACGATGGCAATTGTATAGATGTTAATCTTAGAACCATCTTAGAACTGTTGGATAAGCCAAGCCTTGCCTTGCTGCCCTCTCAAGACCAGGGACGTCTATGGATACTAGACAAAACGGAAAAGAAATAGTGGGCGCACCAGTCTAGTGCATTATGCTCAAGGCTTCACTTTATTAATAAAAAGGTGGTAAGTAATATACTGACAAACCAACGGATGAGTCACAGCTTATCAGATGCAACTGTAAGCTCCAACTCAGGGGGCATGTCACCTGGTGGTGAACCTAAGAAGATCCAACTGGCTGACACGTTTTGAGGCCTTACCTCTTCCTCAGAGCCATAAAGGAGTCTAACTGGGTGACCATACTTACATAGTATGAGGAGGAAGTGGTCAGAGTCACCTGATGGTGCGAGGCCATCGCCCAAAAAGGACAGAGTCAGCCCCTTCACCAATCCTGTTGATGGAGGAGTGGTGAAGGGGCTGATCCCACCCTTTTTGGGCAATGGCCTCATACCATTAGGAGACTTGGACCACTTCATCCTATATAAGTATGGTCACCCAGTTAGACTACTTTATGGCTCTGAGGAAGAGGCAATGCCATGAAACGTGTCAGCCAGTTGGATCTTTTTAGATTCACCAACAGGTGACATGCCCCGTGAGTTGGAACTTGCGGTTACATCTGATGCGGTGCCCTCTTTCTTTTCCGTTTGTCTAACCTGAGGAGAAATACAGGCTGCACTGGAAAAAGACAGTGCGGTTGTTTCAAGGAGCACAATATGACGATACTTGAACAAAAATGAGCTGCATGGTTGAGTTGCCAGAAAGAAGGCTTTACAGTGCCAATGCCACAAAAAAGCCCAGTTACAATATGCCTGACAACACCTTAACATGCCTCACAGCTTCTGGCACACTGTAATCTGGAGTGACGAGACCAAAATAGAGCTTTATGATAACAACCATAAGCGCTATGTTTGGACAGGTCAACAAGGCCTATAGCGGCAAGAATACCATCCCCATTGTGAAGCACGGTGGTGGCTTACTGATGTTTTGGGGATGTGTGAGCTCTAAAGGCAAGGGAAATCTTGTGATGGCAAGATGAATTTAGCATGTCACGAGAAAATACTGCATTGCATTAATTTGCACGAAAGCTGTGCAGGGGATGCTCTTGGACTTTCCAGCATGACAATGACCCTAAGCACAAGACCAGGATGACCCTCCAGTGGTCATGGCAAAAAAGAGTGAAGGTTCTGGAGTTGTCATCACAGTCTCCTAACCTTAATATCATCGAACCACTCTAGGGAGATTGAAAACGTGTGGCTCAAGTAAGACGGCCAAAGACTTTGCATGACCTGGAGGCATTTTACCAAGAATAATGGGTAGCTATACCACCTGGAAGATTTCGGGGCCTCATAGACAACTTTTATAAAAGACTGTACGCTGTCATTGATGCTAAACAAGGCAATACACAGTATTAATTACTAAGGGTATTCTTCTTTTGAACAGGGGTCATTTCATTTGTTTATTCGTTGCCGTGTTTTATTTTATGCTTGTGCCATTCTGTTATGACCTACAGTTGAATATGAGTCATATAAGAACAAAAAGAAATGTGTTTTGCTTGCTTACCTCCATGCTGCCACATCTGTACTACACTGCAGCTGTCCCATGTTGGCTCTAAGACTGGGTGCTAAACGATTACATGACTGCTGATCAGTCAGCTCTTGGTCTGATCGCATCAGAGAACAGTGATTATCAATCATTGCACTCTGCTCTGCTCCTCCAGTGCTCACTGAAGCTCCAGGCTGGTGAAGCAGCAGGCGCAACGCGATCTGGCTCTCAGCGGGGCCCTGAAAGACAGAGCCACGTGTCAATCAGGCAGCTGGGTGGATCCAAACAATATGGTTGGGCTCCTTCCTGTATTTGCCGTGGCTCTGTCGTTAGCAATAGCAATAGCTTGCTGTCAACTAGAGTCACAGAAGAACAAAAGTAAATGTACTCCTGTAATCCAAAAGAAGAGAAGTAGAGCCAAAAACAGTTTGGTCATACGTCTCATTTAAACTGTGGGAAATATAAAAAAATACAGCAAATTAATGTATTGATATAAATGAAGTAGTGCAAGAGCTCCATGCAGTTGACTTTGACAAGACTGAGAAGGGAATTCTGGGAGAATTATGTCAATAGTCTGCTACAGGCAGAAGAAAAGTGATTGACTCGGCCATTGCAGAATATTCCACCACTTTTCCTTCAAAAGCTCCTGGGTTGCTTTTGCAGTGTGTTTTGGATCATTGTCCATCTGTACTGTGAAGCGCTGTCCAATCAATTTTGCTGCATTTGGCTAAATCTGGGCTGACAGTATCTCTCTAAACACTTCAGAATTCATCCAGCTGCTTCTGTCACATTATCAAACACCAATGACCCAGTGCCTCTAGAAGTCATGCATGCCCATGCCATCACACTGCATCCATCATGTTTTACAGATGACGTTGTGTGCTTTGGATCACAAGCTGTTCCAAGCCTTCTCCATACTTTTTTCTTCCCCTCATTCTGGTATAGATTAATCTTAGTTTCATCCGTCCAAAGAATGCTTTTCAAGAACTGGTCTGGCTTTTTTAGATGTTTTTTGGCAAAGTCTAATCTGGCTTTTCTATTCTTCAGACTTATGAATGGTTTGCACCTTGTGGTGAACCCTCTGCATTTGCTCTCGTGAAGTCTTCTCTTGATTGTAGACTTTGACAATAATACGCCCACCTCCTGGAGAGTGTCCTTCACTTGTCTGGATGTTGTGAATGGGTTTTTCTTTCCATAGAGAGGATTCTGTGATCATCCACTACTGTTGTCTTCCATGTACGTCTCTGCCTCTGCCTCTCCCTCCACTGGCTCCCTCTGCCTCTCCCTCCACTGGCTCCGATTGCCCAACGCATCAAATTTAAACTCCTTACCCTGACCTTTCACAACACTGCCCCTGACTACCTCACCAATCTGATCACCAGGTACCACCCTACCCGTACCCTCGCTCCTCTCAGGACCTCCTTCTATCCCTGCTCCCTGGTCTCCTCCTCCCATGCACGACTGCAGGACTTCTCCAGGTCCTCCCCCATCCTCTGGAACTCACTGCCCCAATTCAGACTGTCGCCTTCTCTATTCACATTCAGGCGCTCCCTCAAAACCCATCTCTTCAGGGAAGCCTACCCCACCCTCACCTAACGGCCATCCTCCCTCATTCCTCCTACCACTTCATCCCCCCCAGCCACTTCCTACTGTACCTTTACCCCCTCCCTCCTAGATTGTAAGCTCGTAAGAGTAGGGCCCTCTTACCCCTCGTACGCTGTCTGTCTTTGTTGTACTGTGCCATGTATTGTCCCCCCCTATTGTACAGCGCTGACAACCCTTTGGCGCTATATAAACTGTGTAATAATAATAATAATAATAATGTACGTCCATGCCTTTTTATGTTGCTGAGCTCACCTGTGCGTTCTTCTTTCCTCAGAATGTACCAAACTGTTGATTTGGCCACTCCTAATCTTGATGCCATCTCTCTGAATGATTGGTTTAGTTTTTGAAGCCTTACAATGGCCTGTTTCACTTGCATGGACAGCTCCTTTGAACACAAGATGTAGGTCACAGCAACAGATTCCAAATGCAATACCACACTTAGAACTCCAGACCTTTTACCTGCTTAATTGATGAAGAAATAACAAAGGAGTAGCCCACACCTGGCCGTAAAACACCTATTGATTCAACTGTCCAATTATTTTTGGTCCCTTGAAAAGTGGGGGATGGCTACTCTTAAGAGCTGTAATTCCTAAACTCTTCATCCAATTTGGATGTACATACCCTCAAATTAAACCCGAGAGTGTGCACTGTCAGCCCATATCCATTATATAACTATAGTTTGAATATGTTTTGGTAAATACCTGAAAAAAACTAAAATTGTGCCTGTGTCCAAATATATATGGACCTAACTGTACATTATGACCTATATATGGCAGAATGAAAAAACTGGATTTACAGAATGACAAACTTTATCATATACTCACACTTTGGGAGTTTTCTTTAGTAAAAATGCACACTAAATTTAGGGAAATGGATCTGCAGCTCACATCCAAGGGTTGGTTTATATCAGTGAGTAGAATCATGGTGGGGTTGATTTACTAAAGGAGTATTTTCACTTGCCTTAGTGAATGAGGTGAATTTAAGTGAAAACATGCTTATTGTATCTTAGTGTAATCCAGTTAGTGTATAGATTACACTTTACATAATGCAGAATTTACATAATTTGTAAATTATTTGTTAAAGAAAAAAAACTAAACTAAAAAAAAAAAAAAGACTTCTAAATCAATTGTTAAATGTGCAAATCACTTCTCTTTAGTGTACAATTCATACAAATGTATATGCCAGATATTGCTGGGATTCTCATACAGGGAAACAAGAGTGTACTTTACTCCCCAACCCCCTTTTCCTCTTCTTCATTCAGAGAATGCCTTGTGAATGAACAAAGTGGGAAAGGGGGAAGATAAAAGACATTTCTCCATATAGTGGTGTATTAAACAAAAATAATCTAAAAATGGAAGAGATCAACACAGATTTTTTCCCTTTTGTAGTATGATTGACTGAAGAAAGAAAAGCTTGCATTTCAAGGACACAAAAGCAAATAAGCCAATAACTGTTGAAAAAGGTAATTTATCAAACACTGAAATCTCTGGTAAATCATTGGCAGTGTCTTGAGTATGTAGTAACTTACCTTTCGATCCAGATACTGAACCTCCCTGTTGTCGTCTTTTGGCATCACTTAAGATGTCTATCACCAGTGTTGCAAATTCATGAGCATTAAATCGGGCTAATTTTTGCCTTCCCTGAAATGATAAAGATCATCTGAACATAGAGTCCTCTTTGTCAGACAAGAGCATTATCAATGCCATACCTTCTATGTAGATTTTGCTATGTAGTGTCAGACTGGTATTTGGGGCATTTAGACTGTTGTCAAAGCCTCAAGTGACAGCATAAAGCTGACTACAAACATTCAGAAGGCAGCTGTTACTCTGTGGATAATCTAACTAGTGCATTTACAGGTGCGCTGAATATCCGATTCACATTGCCACACACTGTGGTTCCTCTTGCCGATGGTACATCCTGTAGCGACATAGGAGCAGCAGGAGAATCCATAGTGTACAGTCAGAGGGGCAGGTATTTACATATCAAGAAGCGTTGGATATCTTCTCCAGCTGGGGGCCCTGGCAGAGTTTTAACACACAGGTCACAAGAAAGATAGCATTAACGTTTACAGGCTGGCATTATTGTACCAATCCTGTGGTGACAGGGTCACACTAAGGCAGATGTTAAAGTAAGTGGAATTGAAAAAGAATAAAATGAAATATGCATATACACACACAGACACACATACATATGCATTTAGGCATGCCATTCTCACACTCCACTCCTTTCTGTGAAGTAAGTAAACAGAGAATTACTATGAGGAACACTCTAGGTACTCAGATTACAAACCCAGACTCCATAAAAGATACAAGAATGATGCGGTCGATTTTCACAGACACACTGAATTAGAATATCTCTGATAGGTGAGCTTGCAGACATAACACAAACATTTGCAGTCCTGTAGCATTACCTGGTTACGTGTTGAGGAATACTCTGGGTTCACTGGAAGAAAAGGTACAACAGTGGTCTCTGTGACAAGAGTGCTGTGGTTCTGAGTGGCAAGCCAAACTGTAAACACAAAAAAAAACAGTTAGGTCAAATATTCAATTGTTTACTTAAAGCACAATTCTACACATTTTTATAATTTTTTTTTTTTTAATATCTTTTTTTTTTTTTAACATTGTCACTTCCTATTTTGTTATTACTTCAGGAGCTCTCTAAGCTTATCTGATATGTACAGCTGCATCTTTACAGTATATGAATGACACCAGTTTTGGGCTTGTGTCACTGTCCCCTCACTCTGCTGTGTTTTTCATAAAGCACTGAACAAGTATGACGTTTGTACTATGCTCTGTGAATAGCATAGCAGAAGAAGAGGGCAAAGGAAAAACACCAGAAGGAATGTTGTTCACACACACCGCATGCAATGCAGAGCCAGTAGTGTGGCTTCCCACTGTACATACCAGGAGCTCTCAGAGTAGCTTATAAGTAATGGTAATGTGAGAAATAATGGTTAAAAAAAAATGTAGCAGAACTGTGGCTGTGAAGCTGTGAGCAGCAGAGGGCACTCTTGTATAATGACAGACCAGGATGCACTATTTTGTCTATTTTCTGTTTGTTGTGCTTCTTTAAGGATACATGGGTTAATCTCAAAAAAGCCTGCTCTCATTATTTTGTGTATATATGACCCGGTTGTTTCTAATATCACAGATTGGAGCAGAATCACATTTACACATCCATACGGTTTCACATGATAGTAAATTCTATTATATACACTTCTAGTTGATTTACTAGCACAGGCTTAAAGGTCTATTTATAAAGCAGTAGTTTAGCCATTGGCCAACATTCACTGCAGGTCAATCTTCTGGTGCATGCGATTTAAACAATTGTTTGTTAAAAATCACATTTTAAGGCTCTATACATATGTCCATTCTTTCTTTTTTTGTGACAAGCTCCGGTCATTAAAATCCTCTTATATGGCAGACATTTTGAAAAATATCATCGGACACAACAGAATGTTATATGATGAATATTGCCCAAAATGTACTGGAAAACTCTCAGCTCTCAAGGACCATCTATAAAACTCACATTTAACCACTGTAAAACATCATATCTAATGAAAATCAGAAACCCTAGATGACCAAAGAGACTTGTATATAAATATACAACAGATAAAAGTAGGCAAAATCACCTGCATCTGTTTCCCGTCTGTCGACTTTCATCATATACATCCATCGCTAATTCTTCAAATAAGTGATTGCTTAACTAATAAAAGATAAAGCGTGTTTTAGCAATTTTATACACCAACAATGATAGTCTTAGATCTCATAGCCTGGGGAAGGGATATAGACATCTGACAGATGTCTATTTCAGTCTATGTGCCCTCTCCACAATAACATGCAAGGAAGATGCTTTGAAATAGGGGAAACAAAGTTCTGCTCACAGCTATGCATAGGAGTCACTAGAACAGTTTTCTTTCAATATGCCATATGTTCCAGTGGCAGACTTACCATTTGTGCAGACTGCACAGCTGCACAATGATATTGGGCAGTGGTCGGCAAGCCGCGGCTCGCGAGCCACATGCGGCTCTTTACACGCTTTAATGCGGCTCTTGTGTGCGGGCGCCCGCTCCCCTCCCTCCTCTCGGGCGGCAGGGACTCTGCAGCGTGATCCAAAAAAAAAAAAAACAGCCAGGGCAGCGCGCTCAAATGCAATGATTGTCCAGTCTCGCTGCCACTCACATCCTGATAGCCAGTGATTGGCTGTCAGGATGTGTGTAGGCGGGGCAGCGTGACGAACGTGAGAGGAGCTAGGCTCCTCTCACAGTCCGCCCTGAAGACCGCAACGGCGCGGGAACACGGCGAGAGGAACGCGCGGAGCAAAGGTAAGTGAATTGACACAGGGGGGACTTGGCTTACTACTTGCTACTTACTTACTACTACTATATGAGGGATGAATTAATATGGGGGATGAATTACTATAGGGGGGATGAATTACTATGGGGGATGAATTATTATAGGGGAGATGAATTACTATAGGGGGGATGAATTACTATATGGGGGATGAATTACTATATGGGGGATGAATTACTATGGGGGATGAATTACTATATGGGGGATGAATTACTATGGGGGATGAATTACTATGGGGGATGAATTACTATATGGGGGATGAATTACTATATGGGGGATGAATTACTATGGGGGATGAATTACTATAAAAACTTATTGAAACTAAAAACAGTGTACCATCCTATGTATTTTCAGTTTTAAAAATTTGGCTCTCAAAATAAATTTCAATCGTGGTTTTGGCGAGATTTGGCTCAGTTGAAAAAAAAAGGTTGCCCACCACTGATATAGGGTCCTGTTTAGATAAGATGTGATCTATCTATACACAATAAATGTAAATGTTTATATCTGGCCATTGAATGGATGGGAGGCCCTAAAAAATTATTCCTGCAAAAGGGACCCTCTGGTGACTAGATATGCCATTGTCATGTTCCCGTAACATTCTGTCAGTCAATTACCAGTGACACTTACAGACTGAAGTTTTTTCTTTGCAGCCTTGGCAAGTTCTGATAAATCTAAACTGCTGCAAACAGGGAAAGAGAGTGAGCATCAGTAATTATAACACATAATACAATATATAAAGGAATGTGCCTTGGGAGATTTAAGTAAATGAAATGTCAGTTAGTCTTTGTGGTTTTCCTCAGGGGTAATTTTCCATATTGCATATTGGTTCATAATGCTATCAGATGGTAACAACACATTTGTGCAAGTTTAGCAACTTAATATTTCATGATAAATGTACACGGTAAGACGCTACAAGTCGAGTAGAGAACAATGGCTGTTTCCATGTTAATTCCGTAACAGCAGAATGGCAGTGATGGCAGAGAAGATTGCACTCCTGAGCAGTGAAACTGCAAGCTCACATTTGCCTTGATAATAACAAAAAGCATTGCACTGGCATATTACCATGAAACAAGTGCAATCTTTATCACATAAAATTTGGAATATTAAAAACATAGGGGTGCACTTCCTATGTGTAACATATTTTTTAGCTCTTGGATCCTGTTTTGGATCACAAGCAGCAAAACATAGTGAAGTCAACACTAGAAAGTATACAGCTTTCGTAGTGATATTCTTCTGAATTTTAATATTCATATTATGTTGCTGATTCATATACATTAGGTGGTTCTTGGTATCTAAACACAAAAAACAAAAATGTAATATACCGTAGCTTACCAATCTCCTTAGAGGAGTTGGCTGCATTTGTGTGCATTGCATTTCATTTCACAGGTATCCTGTGTAAAACAGATTTCCTGTTCCTGAGTGGCCACACTCATTCTTTCAATTCACTGTATCTTTGGATGGAGCTATGGTTTCCACCTAGGTTGGACTACAAATACACTATATTGCCACAAGTATTGAGACACCTGCCTTTACACGCACATGAACTTTAGTGGCATCCCAGTCTTAGTCTGTAGGGTTTAATATTGAGTTGGCTCACCCTTTGCAGCTATAGCAGCTTCACCTCTTCTAGGAAGGCTGCCCACAAGGTTTAGGATTGTGTCTATGGGAATGTTTACCCATTCTTCCAGAAGCGCATTTGTGAGGTCAGGCATTGATGTCAGACAAGAAGGCCTGGCTGGCAGTCTCTGCTCTAATTCATTCTAAAGGTGTTCTATCGGTTTGAGGTCAGGACTCTGTGCAGGCCAGTCAAGTTCCTCCACCCCAAACCTGCTCATCCATGTCTTTATGGACCTTGCTTTATGCACTGGAGTGCAGCCATGTTGGAACAGGAAGAGGCCATCCCCAAACTGTTCCCACAAAGTTGGGAGCATGAAATTGTCCAAAATGTCTTGGTATGCTGACACCTTAAGAGTTCCCTTTACTAGAACTAAGGGGAAAGTACCATTCTCCTGGCAACCGCCAAAGCCAGACACGTCTATTGGATTGCCAGACAGAGAAGCGTGATTTGTCACTCCAGAGAACATGCCTCTACTGTGAGTCCACTAGAGTCCCAGTGGCGGCGTGCTTTACACCATTGCATCCGACACTTTGCACTGCACTTGGTGATGTAAGGCTTGGATGCAGCTGCTTGGCCATGGAAACCCATTCCATGAATCTCTCTAGGCACTATTGTGCTAATCTGAAGGCCACATGAAGTTTGGAGGTCTTTAGCTATTGACTCTGCAGACAGTTGGCGACTTCCGAGCACTGTGCGCTTCAGCATGCGCTGACCCAGCTCTGTCATTTTACCTGGCCTACAACTTCGTGGCTGAATTGCTATTGTTCCCAGTTGATTCCACTAACAGTTGACCGTGGAATATTTAGTAGCATGGAAATTTCACGGATGGACTTATTGCACAGGTGGCAACCTATCACGGTACCACGCCTGAATTCACTGAGCTCCTGAGAGCGACCCATTATTTCACAAAATGTTTGCAGAAGCAGTCTGCATGCCTAGGTGCTTAATTTTATAAACCTGTGGAAATGGAGGTGATTGGAACAGCTGATTCCAATGATTTGGAGGGTGTCTCAATACTTTTGGCAATATAGTGTATGTCAACCTTTGTAAACCATGGGGGCGTGGGGATCCATAGTTTATAGAAGGAAAATAACAATATCAGTTCAGCTCACAGGAAGTGAAAATTTCTGGAAACTAACAGATATATTCTGTACGTGGAGTTTTCTGGGGGTTTTTTTTTTTAAATAAACATATTCAGCCGTCACATCTAAAGGCTGGTAAGCGCATTATAATACAATTTTCCTTAAAACATTTTTTTTAGCGTGTTCTCATACTTTATACTCCCCATACATCCCACCCCTCACCCCCCAACATCCTCATATTCTGTACTCACCATACACCCACCGCCCTCCATTTCCTCATACTCTGTACTCCCCATACACACAACCCCCTTGTCCTCAAACGCAGTACTAACCATAAACCCCACCTCATGTCCTCATACTCTGTACTCCCCATAGACCCCCCCCCCCCCATGTCCTCATACTCTGTGTTTGCCAAACATTCCCCCTCCCCCATGTCCTCATACTCTGTACTCCCCCAACCCCCCTCCCCAACTAATGTCCTCATACTCTGTACTCCCCAAACATCCCCCATGTCCTCATACTCAGTACTCACCAACATCTGGGGAGTACTCTGTACTCCCCAGGATTACACCTAGCACCCTGTCCTGCAGAGATGGGTTTATAGTTATGCGATTGATCTTGACAGAGAAGTCAGAGAGAGAGAAAGAGAGAGAGAGAGACACATGGTGGAGGAAATATTAGCTCAGTTTTGTATAGACTGAGATGAGAAAAAGTGGTGTGACATCCAGCCTGATATGTCTGTCAGTAAATTATGATGTGAGAGGAGACGGATTTAGTGAGCTGAGTGGTTGAGAGATAGTGTAGAAATGGAATTGAAATTCATGGGAGGCTATCAGCTGACCAAAGGTGGAGGTGTACATTGAGACTAGGACAGATCAGATCCAAGAACAGAACCTTGGGAGACCCCGACAGAAAACGGAAGAGGAGAGGGAGAAGGTAGAAGTGTTTAAAGAAGGTGCAAGTGAAACTGAAGGTGCAGTGGGATCAGAAGAATGAGAACCAAATGAAGAGTACAGTCACAGAGGCCAAAGGAGTGAAGTTAATCTACAAGGCTGTGTATGGATTGTGAGAGAAGAACAGAGGACTGTAGATAACGCACACAAAAATACAGGGATAACATAAATACAACACTGGACGTGTCCCTTGTGGAATTCAATGCAAGATCCCAGTGCTGAAAGTGATATGTAATATTACAGCTTCCCATTTTTTCCCCCCTATACTCCTGTAGTAAGAAAAAAAAACATCCAGTAACTCTGAAAGCCATCATGAGGATAAAAACTAAAAGGAAAGAAGTAAACCATGCTTTTCTGAGGAGGTTTAGTCCATTTTGCACCAATCATCAAAAATAAGTCAAGTACTCATATACTAGGATTTTTTATTCATATAGTATTTTTATATATATATATATATATATATATATATATATATATATACATATACACATACATACACACACACAGCTGTGAAGCCTTTACATAGCAGATAAACAATGTAGTGATAAGACGTGAGATATTGGTTGATAGATATATATATATATCCTGATGGAGCCAAATTCTCCTTCATTTATGTCTCACATGCACCCCCTCCAAGACACTGCAGCTCACAGTGAGAGAATTTCAGCTACACAGTTTGTCTGGGAGGGGGTGCAGGTGAGACAGTTAGTGCTGTCAATCTAGAAAAAAAGGTGTGGCCAGGTGTTGATTGACAAGCTACAGGGTTGTGAATTAGCAGTGACCGTTCTGATAGCAACAACCCCCTGCAACATCTTCTCATTCCACTGCAGTGTAAGCAGGCACAGCCTACATAAGAGTAACAATTCTTCTCTGAATTCAGGAACAGTGCAGCGTTTTTTCCAACAACATCATAGAAGGCTGTATTAGGTAGTCTTCACTGGAATGATCATTAAATATTTTGGGGAATTTGCAGGGGGGCTTTATAACTTTTTTTTGGATGAGCTCTAGGAGTATTTACATTTGCTGCCTTGATTGCCATATATTGTCACTGTTTTAAAAGACAATGGTCATCATCTCATTTCTTGTCACTGCATTGTTTATCTGCTATGTAAAGGCTTCACAGCTGTGTGTGTGTGTGTGTGTGTGCGCGTGTACGTATGTGTGTATATTTATATTATATATATATATATACACACACACACATATATATATATATATATATATATATATATATATATATATATATATAAATATATATATTTATATTTTTATGAGGCTTGTGCATCACATAGTTATGGATTTTATACTTGTTTAGACTGCCATATAAGTGTCTTTCTTTTACGGGATAGTGAAGAATAGTAAAGAAGCAGGAGCACATTAGCCCTGTCTTAGGCTGACCACTCAGTGCAATACAATGCAACAAAGAAAAAAAAAAAATACACAATTTTTATTTAAAATTACATTTGATTCATTATAACACATACTAGCAATATTTATTTGTAAAGTGTGTGTTGTTATATCACCCTTGAGCTCAGCCCCTCTGATCTAGTAGGAATCAGCCCTCTATCACCTTGCAATTTACCACTATAAACAACAAAGATGCAGCAAGTGGAAATTTTTCTACAACTGCACCAAAACGCAGAGGTGTAAAGCCAGTGTTACCTCCAACTTAGTATACATACTCTAGATTGGGGTCGGCATTCCATCTATCGTGGTCTACCTGTTGAACAGATTCCCGTGCCACCAAACCCCGCCTTTTGGGTGCTGGTCCCTCCCCCCAGCTTCCTCCGCTGCGGTCATCCTCAGCGCACAGTGGAAGGCAGCACAGCTCAGGATGGAAGGTGGGAGGAGAAGCTGGCCAAATTAACTTTTCATATTAACCCGCAGGTGATTGGTTGTTAGGTGGGTCCTAGCAACCAATTACTAGCTTGTTAATATCCTCCCCCTTCCACCAGTGTACAGCTCTGGCAGGAAGAAAATCCAGGGGATAGGCTCTAGTACATGCCTCCCCCGCTGCCCCTCCCATCCTTATTCCTCCTTTTTTTTTCTGCTGAATGGCCCCTCCCCCAAGTGCTGTCCTTTCAACAGGGCTCCTAAAACAAAATTGTGAGAAATAAAAAAAAATAAAATCGTAAAAATAAAAATTACAGACACCATCCACTGCCCTACTGACACCAACCTCTGCCCTGCTGACACCATCCAATGCCCTGCTGACTGACACCATCCATTGCCCTGCTGACTGACACTATCCATTCTTAAGGTAGGCCAAGTTGGTATTTTTACAGTGACATTTGTTTTATTATATGTTTCTACATTTTCCTTACTATTTAGTTAGGCCTTACTAGTTAATTTTGCTCTCTTTTTTTTTTTTTTTTTAAATGGTGCTGAACCCTGGTGATTTTTGATCTTTTTCATGTTGTTCAGGAAGATCTCCACCTCTCAGAGGTTGCCTACCCTTGCTCTAGACTCATTACAATCTTTAACCACATTGGCTATTGTGAGACATTTTGCTTTAAAGATAAAATTCACCAAAATGAATTAATGAACTAATCTGTCTTTCCATTATACAATTACTCGTAAACAAAATACAAAAAGAGATTTACTTACAGCCTCCTTTTTCCAGATGTATAGCCACAGAACAAAAAGGAAAATTAACATTATGATGTATGCAGATTTAAACTGCTTGCAAAAAAAAAAAAAAACCTTCCACATTATGATAAAAGCAGCCTACATAACAAAGATGCCATTTACAAGGGTTTCCTGCAGCTGTCATGCAGCTGTCTCTTCCTTATATCAAGTGGAAAACCAAGAGCTCCACAGATGAAATCATGCTTGTTGGAACAGTCACTGAGCTCTTTGAAGTTAAGCGACTATTTAGAATCATACTTTATTTATTTAAGTGTGTCAATTTCCCTCTATGAATTGTTTTAAACAAAATAAAATTTTTCTGTAACAGAACAAATGCATTCAACATTCTTCTGTAACAGAACAAATGCATTCAACATTCTAGGAGATTTTCAGGAATAGAAATATTACCAACTGATTATTACAACTAAACGACCGAATAAAACCTTGCACTAATTTTTATCGCTTTCAAAAAACATATAATTAAACATTACAAAGAAAAAAAAAACCTCACCTGTCTGCCATGTGTGGTATAATAAAGTGCTGTCCATTTCTATGGTCTAGAAAACAGATTTCGCATTAACAATCATAATACACACATTTGATCATACAGTATATGCCTATTCTTGCTGCTGTAAAGTATCAATAAGCAATCATCATAAAACTTTTTGTTTACAGCTTACCGGGCTTCCTTCCACATAAATAAAATGCTAATCTGTCGGTCAATTCGTGTTGAATTTCCACAAGACGATCTGCTAATTCATGATGGCCACCTTGCCTGAGTAATGAGATACAGTGCATTGAGTTACAGTCAGGATCTAGACTAGGATTTGAGTTACTATTATCTGAAAAGCACTCGCATTAGGGATGATAAAAATGCCAATAAATAAAAATAAATAAAGCCAATTCCAGGATTCATGTAATGCTTTAATGCATAAAATTACACTGGAGAATTTAATCAATCATCTTGCACATCTGTCTGGCATTCTCATTTTTCAGTCAATACAGCAAAAAGGCATGTGAGGAATGCCTATGAAATATGAGGTGTATTTAGTGAGTGGCTCCTTGTTTTTCAGCTTTTCCTCATTCAAATATACTTACACATACAAACATTGATACAGTTGTGATTAGATAAAGAAGAAGACTATCTTAGTGAAATCCTGTTCCCATTTTCAGTCAGGGTGTATAGAACTGTTAAATCCATTAATTAATCCAATCTCCTTTGACTAAAGAACTTAATTAGCTACACACATTAAATCAATAGGTTCCCCCATCCAGTGCTGGATATTGTATTCTAATAGCCAGTAACCCTGTGGCTGTCAGAATACCCAAACACGGACCCCATCTGACAAAATGCAGTCACTGTTAAGCTGAGATTTTTCCTCCCAATCCCTTCAATTTTCAGGCCTCATTCACATGGGGAGATTTACTTGTGCCCCTTGCAGGGCAGTGTTTACCAGCATGGAGATGCACAGGTGTTGTATCCACAACACACAAACACCTGTGCATCCCCATTCAAGAAAAACACAGCCCTGCACAGGACATGGATTCAATTCCCTCGTGCAAACAAGGCCTTATACTGACGTTTGTTGAGCCAGGTGGTGCTGCCAGGGCCATGGCCAAAAATGTAATCGGGTTTAGCAGGAATACACTGAAATTCAAGATGCATATGGCCAGCATTACTCTCTTTTGCCAACATACATGGAACCTGATGTCACATTTGAGCTGTTCAGCTTCAAACAAATTGGTGAACAAAGACACTGTTCTTGATTGTTCCAAGGGACTCCGTTATTACTTCATTGGGCGCTTCCATCTTGGCCCTCATTGCATAGAGAAGGTGAAGACAATCTAAACAGTCCATTTAAACAGTATCCAATCAGACATGCCCCTTGCCCTACATAGTGATGGAAGAACTAGGGGATTGCGCAATCAGATTTTATGTACACATAAAGCAGTAGTAAACACTGCTTGGTGACTTGTACCTACAGTTAAACGTATAAATAAACCTACCTGTAGCTACAAGGAATATCTCCTAAATGTGCACAGTTTAGGATATATTCACCATTTCTGCAGTCAGTGACGTTACTGGCTCATGTCAGAGCGCTGTGCGGCCATCGCGGCTCCCGTGCTCATGTGTGGGACTGACGTTATGACTGCTCGGTCATTCAAGCGGCCAGGCCCCATGAACCTTGAAGAAGACCGGATGGAGATGGAAACTGTCTGTTTTGACAGCACGCTGCTGGAGATTCAGCAGGATCCATGCAAGATCTGATCAATCTATGGGCAGGCTGGTTGTAACAATATCAAACCATCAATCGACTTCAGTAAAACTAGCATTTTGGATTTTTTGCATGCAATCACTGTTGGCAACTATAGTCACCAGTGATTACTGTGAATAGTGAGGCGCTATAAATCAATTCTATCTAATATGTAAAAATAGTGCTATATATTGCTAGCTGTGCCAACACATTAGTGCTCAGTGAAAAAATCTTGCAAACAAATAAATGTCTTAATCAACAAATATAAGTGAAACATAACATTAAAATTGTGACAAAATCCAAATAATTGTGATAGTGGTTCTTTAAAAAAGAAAAAACATCCTGTGCTGTTTGACAATAACTCTTAGGGACACACTGTGTATGAACAAACGAAAGGACAATCAAAACATATCTGTGTTTTTTTGGAACATAAAGTCTGTGCAAGTGAAACTGTGCTGACGTGATCTTCACTCCAGTGAAAAAGAAAAAATCCTCAAATGGCAGCAATGCCTGCTCACCTCCACACACTGACTCGCGCACAGTAATCTTGTATTCATACTTATTGGTGTAAGTCGAGTGGCAGCAGCTATATCGAGGTTTTGCGGCTTCTGTTTACAAGCGCAGGAGGATATCCACAGTCAGTCACCAGTGATTATTATGCTCTGAAGGCAGGGAAGGATCCCTGTCAGAAGAACACAATAGCTCTACCGTAGTTGCAGGAAAGAAAGTTGCAACATCTATGGGTTACCTTAGACACTTCTACCCACCTGCAACAGTCATATGCAACTATTCTCCAGTTAAGTGGATAGCTGCTGACTTGGTCTAACTTTGCATATCAGTAACAGTGCTGTTTAGTCTGCTTGTGTTTGAAACAGCTGGGCCAGATTATGAAGGTACTCCTATATTTACATGTCTGAGAAATGGAGAGACTTTATCTCAAAGCAAATGTTCAGTCAATATAGGTTGCTTTTATGAGCTTGGCATTATGTTACTTGTTATACCCTAAATATGGGTTTAACGTGTAACATGGTCTTAAAGGTGGAGTTAGCCTTAAAAGGTTTAAAAATGCAAGCTTTTGAAACAAGCACACAATTCTACTTCCAATATATTATCCAGACTGCAAAGGAGGAGGACTTTTTTTCAATTTTATAAAAATTACAACAGCTTGCACCATGCAGCGCTATCTCAAACCACTTACAAACACCAGTTAGGGCTCTGTTCCCGCCATGTTTGTTGGAGCGGCATTGATCAAACGCAGGCTCAACACAAGGGAATATATGAAAACATTTGTTTTCTTTATGTCCTTTGCACATCAAGGCATGCTTCATGAAAATGGAGCATGTCTGCATCTATATTACTTTCTGACTTTTCAACAAAGTTTTGACAAAAGTAAACAGTAAAATGTGTCCCAACAAAGCATTACACTGCCCTTCACAACACACACACCAGCATGCATATGTTATATGAAACATAATAAGCAGGCTGGTGTGAACAAGCCCTTAAAGATAAACAGTAACAGATGAAAGCATTCTGTGAGGTACCAATGCAATCCATGAAATACCTAAGCTGTACAACTATCAGTCATTTAAGAGCACTCTGCAATTCAGTACTGCTAGATTCTCACAGACCGTCTCACAGGCTCAGCAGGAAGGCCTTAGGAGTGTATTTCCTGAGACCTGTGCAACTTCCTCTCTCTGTCTCCTGCAATCACATTCAAACTCCCTAAGCAGATTTTAATCTTATTTGCAGCTGGAAGACAATTCTTAGTAATATCATTTTTACATCAGGCTATCTGCAAGAGGCACTGTGTAGTCTGTAGTGAGGGGTTCTAGAATCTTATCCCAATGCATTCCAATATAACCAGGTTTCCAAAAAGGGAGAAGGAGAACTGGTGCATTACAGAAATTTTAAGATGAAGGACTGAAGAACTAAAGAGGCAGAATGAACCTGCTGTATACATCTCAAGACTTCAGTCTCAAATTTTACTGGTCTCTAGCTTTAAGTCATCAGCATGATGATACATGCTTGAACTTTAACCTTTACAATTTAGGCCATATTCTCTGTAAAGTAATTATGCAGCTGCCAAATCTGTGTAGTTCATAAAAAACTGTTAAAGGCTATGTTCACCTTTAGTAAATAAATAAATGCCCTGCACCCTGCACCAGCACCGAGAGGGTAAGCCTCCCCTTTGGGGCACCTACCACTGAACTGCCCAAACCCTATCCAATTCGGCGGAGCCAAGCCTACCACGCAGCCTTATCGCTCCCACCGACGCAGGGCCCCCAGCACCCCCAGTCGCTGGCCCACAACATCCACCTGCGGTGCTCACCTCACCCACAGACGCTGAGCCAGACTGCGACTAACCCACTCCACCTCCAGACGTCGGTCCTCACCACCTCCTAACGCCGGGCCCTTCATACACCACCTGATGCCGGGCCCTTCAGCACCATCAGCGCCTCCCGACGCCGAGTCCTCAGCGCCTGGCCCTCAAAATCCGCCTGCGCCGGCTCACTTCGTTCACGGACGCTGAGCCTTCTACAGCTGCCAACGCCTAGCCTACTCCACCTCCAGACGTCGATCCATACCACCTCCTGACGACAACCCTTCCACTCCTCCCGACGTCGGGACCTTCAGCACCCTCAGCGCCTCCCGACGCCAAGCCCTCAACACCTGGCCTCAACTTCTCCGGTCTCCGAGCCGCCAGCATCACCAGATGCCGCGCCTACTGCACCCCAGACGTCGCGCCCTACGACCCCTCCGCTCACCGAACCACTGCACCCACTGATGACGTGCCGCCGCACCCACGGACACCAACCTACTTCACCCGCAGACTACTACCAACCAGCTGCTATCCTTGCTGCCCTCCACTCTCCCTCTCCCCTCCCAGAAGAACTCAATAGTCTCCTCCACAGACGCGCACCACAGATGCTCTGCTTTGCCATCCCTGACCAGCACCCCTTCACCCCCCTGACCTTTCCAGCACCCCGCTCACCCCAACATGCCGCCCGCGCTCCTCCTCCTTGTCCTCCTCTCCTCCATCCCTAAAACCGCCTCCCTCTACCCGCCCACCCCCACTAAGCAGCTCTATATCGCCCCCTCGCTTCTCCCCTCTCCCCATTACGGCACCCACCACCCCCTCCTGCTACTCCACTTCCCCGCTGACCCACTTGCCACCACTTCCAGACCCACACGCTCCTACACCTCCCGTTCCCATGCCACCTTCCTCACCCTCCTCCTTCTCATATCAGCTGGGGACATCTCCCCGAACCCTGGCCCCTCACCACCTCACCCCCCCCCTAGAGCCCCCCCTGCTCACGCCAGCCGACGCGACCCCCTCAACCTCATACATGTACCCCTCCTCCCCATACCTATCCCCCCCTCTCTCGGTTGCACTCCTGAATGCCCGTTCGGTTTGCAACAAACTTACCGCGCCATCCACGACCTCTTCATCTCCCGCTCCCTAAACCTCCTAGCAGTCACCGAAACCTGGGTACAGGCCACCGACTCCACTTCCCCTGCGGCACTCACCTATGGAGGTCACATCTGGACCCATTCGCCAAGACTGAGCGATCGCAGAGGTGGTGGTGTCGGCCTGCTCCTTTCACCGCTGAGCACCTTCCAGGTCCTCCCTAACCCACCCTCTCTATCCTTCCCCTCCTTTGAGGCGCACTGCATCCGACTCTTCTCACCCACCCCCTAAGGATCGCAGTGATCTACAGACCTCCTGGGTCCATACCCCACTTCCTGGACAACTTCGCCGCCTGGCTCCCCTTCTTCCTCTCCTCTGAGCTACCAACCATCATCCTCGGGGACTTCAACATCCCCATCAACGACAACAACCTGGCCACTTCCCAATTCCTCCACCTAACCTCCTCCTTCGCGCTCACACAGCACACGCAATCCTCCACCCACATAGGAGGGAACACCCTGGACCTCGTCTTCTCCCACCTCTGTACCCTCAACCAGTACTCTAACACCCCCTTCCCTCTCTCTGACCACCACCTCATCACGTTCTCCATCTCCCCTTCCCCCCCACTCCCCCCCCCCCCCAAAAACGCCAAACCATCACCAGCCGCAATCTCCGCAACCTGAACCCGGCCTCCCTCCACTCAGCCGCCGACCGCCTACACGACAGCATCCTCCCACTGTCATGTCCTGACATAGCCACCACCTTGTACAACGACTCACTGTCAGCTGCCCTAGACTCTCTGGCACCCCTAACCACGCGCATCATCAAACCCAGGCCGCTTCAACCATGGCAGAATGACAGCACTAAACGCCTCAAACGTCGCAGTCGCGCACTGGAGAGACTGTGGCGCAAAACCAGGTCCCCTCACGCATTCTCCCTCTACAAATCTGCCTTCCTCACTTACACCTCCTCCCTCCACGCCGCCAAGCAGGCCTACTTTGTTAACCTAATCAACACCCTCTCCTCCTGCCCTCGCCGACTCTTCTCTACCTTTAACTCCCTGCTCTCTCTCCCCCCCCTCCTCCACTCAGTACCTCACTCACCGCCCACGAGATTGCCACCCATTTCCGTAACAAGATTGACACTATCCGTAAGGACATTGTCAACTCGCAATCTACCTCCCCACCTAGCCTCCCCACCCCCGTCACCCCTTCTTCTCCCCCCTCCTCTGCCCTCACAACCGCACTGCCCTCCACCTCTCCCAAGGCCCCGCCCACCGTAACCCCCCCCTGCACTGCACTCCCTCAGCCCTGTCACTACTGAGGAAATCGTCAAGGTCCTCTCAGAAGCCCCCGCCTCACTACCTGCCCCCTGGACCCTATCCCCTCTCAACTCCTCCAGTCACCCCCCTCTCCCCTCATCCGCTCCCTCACCCACATCTTCAATCTCTCCCTCTCTACTGGCGCATTCCCCTCCCCCCTAAAGCATGCACATATCACCCCCATCCTCAAAAAGCCCTCCCTGGATCCCGCGAACCCCAACAACCTCAGACCCATCTCCCTGCTGCCACTCACCTCCAAGCTCCTTGAGCGCATAGTCTACGATCGCCTAAGCGCCCACCTTATTGACAATAACCTACTTGACCCATTACAGTCCGGCTTCCGTCCCCTACACTCCACTGAATCTGCCCTCCTCAAATCACTGAATCTGCCCTCCTCAAAATCACTAACGACCTACTAAACACCAAAGCCAAGGGCGACTACTCTGTCCTCCTTCTCCTGGACCTCTCTGCGGCCTTCGACACAGTCGACCACCCCCTCCTCCTTAATAAACTACTCTCCCTTGGCATCAGAGATACCGCTCTCTCCTGGTTCTCATCCTACCTATCCCGACGCTCCTTCAGCGTCACCTACAATGGTACCACCTCCCCCTCCCTCCCCACTCTCTGTTGGGGTCCCCCAAGGCTCTGTCCTTGGACCCCTTCTCTTCTCCATCTACACCTCCTCCCTGGGCACACTCATACACTCCCATGGCTTCAATTATCACCTCTATGCTGATGACACCCAAATCTACCTCTCCACCCCTCTCCTCACCCCCACTATCTCCGCCCGCATCACTCACCTCCTAAACGACATCTCAGACTGGATGTCGCTCCATTTCCTCAAGCTTAACATCTCCAAAACCGAACTCCTCGTCTTCCCCCTGCCCACACCCCCCCCCCCCCAGCCTATCCATCACCACCACCAACACCACTATCATTCCCGCCCCGCAAGCCAAAGTCCTTGGCGTCATTCTTGACTCGAACCTCTCCTTCCTCCCTCATGTTAAATCACTTGCAAACACCTGCAGGCTCCATCTCCGCAATATTGCCAAGATACGTGCCTTCCTCACCCCAGACACCACCAAACTTCTTGTACACTCCCTCATCATCTCACGCCTTGACTACTGCAACTCTCTTCTCATTGGCCTACCCAAGTGCAGGCTCTCCCCGCTCCAGACCATCCTGAACTCAGCGGCCAGACTCATCCACCTCACCACCCCCGCTCCACCTCTGCCACCCCCCTCTGCCTCTCCCTCCACTGGCTCCCGATTGCCCAACGCATCAAATTTAAACTTCTAATCCTGACCTACAAAGCCGTTCATAACACTGCCCCTGACTACCTCACCAACCTGATCCCCAAGTACCACCCTACCCGTACCCTTCGCTCCTCACAGGACCTCCTTCTATCCTGCTCCCTGGTCTCCTCCTCCCATGCACGACTGCAGGACTTCTCCAGGTCCTCCCCTATCCTCTGGAACTCACTGCCCCAATCCATCCAACTGTCGCCTTCCCTCCCCACATTCAGGCGCTCCCTCAAAACCCATCTCTTCAGGGAAGCCTACCCCACCCTCACCTAACGGCCATCCTCCCTCATTCCTCCCACCACTTCATCCCCCTCAGCCACTTCCTATTGTTCCACTACCCCCTCCCTCCTAGATTGTAAGCTTGAAAGAGTAGGGCCCTCTTACCCCTCGTACGCTGTCTGTTTTTGTTGTACTGTGCCATGTATTGTCCCCCTTATTGTACAGCGCTGAGCAAACCCTTTGGCGCTATATAAACTCGATGTAATAAATAAAATAAATAAATAATAAATATATAATAAAATGCACATGATTTTGCAGGTAAAAGAATTGTGCATTTATTTATTTATTTTTAACTTGAAGCCTGCCGTGCATTGCACCCATGATCAGTGAATCATGGGTGTGATGTCGGGATCTTGCAGGTACTGCTGATAGCTCTCTGCTATACTTCCGTATGGGCAGATAGTTACTTAGTCGCAGAAAGTATCAGTGAATTACGAGGGTGTTGATTAGCCATGGTGGCAGATGGGACTTATAGTTCATTCATTCACAGATCCCTGTGAAAGACATGGCTGTGCAGGCAAGGGGGGGTCAGCAGGATGGCTGCACAGTAACGTGTTACACCCTAAATACATGTGTAACATGTTACTAAAGGTGAACTTATCCTCTAAACCCCAGTCTCACAATTAATGTTAAACAGAATCTGTTGCCAGACCATTCATTTCAACAAAATTTTTCCCATAAGATATGTGCATTCAATGTATTTTATTAACCAAAAAAAGGCATCTAGCAGGTAAAAAGAAATTAAGAAAAAGGTAAGCAGTAAGGCAAGTAAGAGGGTACATTTCTGTGTTTTTCTGTGCTTTTTACATGATCATTACTCTGCATGCAGTTTACCAAACAAAATTCCATGGCCAATCAATGGATTATATTTACACACAAGACAGTATCCACTCACCTTGCATAGTCAATGGGTGTTTTGCCCGCAGAATCTGGTGTGCCTGGATCTGCTCCATACACTGTAAGTAGCTCTGCCTGTAGGATCTGTCCTGCTTTAGCTGCCACGTGAAGAGGTGTACTTCCCTTTTCCTTCAAGAAAAAAAAAAGAAGGATAAAGCTGTGCAGCTTATGGGTTTTTTAGGGCATTACCTAATATTCGTGTATTATTATACATATTATTGTTGATGGCTTCAGTGTGGTGGTCAAGGCACAGCCTGGAGCTACTTAGGGAACTGAGCATCTGCCATGACCAGAAATTATATTTATCTTGCCCTGGGTCTTAGCCAACAATTTCTTCATGTTGAGAACTGCTGAGGGCATGGAGGTGATTACACTTTATAAATGCTGCTTACCTTTACCTATGAATGCCCCATAGTGCAGTATTTTAAAAGGGTAAACTAAATTACAAAAGCAAACTGACTAACAAGGGAACATGATCAAGACAAATTATTTAGGCAGTTGTTGAATTGGATGAAACCTTTGCAGAAGTCATTCATTTAAAGCATAGATTTTATAAATATATCCATTTATTAGGAAGAGCAGAGAATTAGTTATATCTAGATGGCACATCACCAGTTGTGCCTTTGTCAGTACAGTGCTCATGTTAATTAATAGAGATATGATGCCTGCTTATGAAGCATGTGTATGTTTGCCACATTTTAAACGAACAGTTTTAGAAAATTCTGACAAAGGCAAACTCTACTTTTCCATGATCACACGGAATATATTTTAACAGAGGTGAACATATAAATCATAATTTGAACATTAGGGCCCTTTCACAAGAGCGTTCTGTCAGTTTTTCAGATAGATCCAGACTGAACCCCAATGTATGTCTATGGGCAGGCAGATGTAAATGGATGTATGTCTGTTTATATCTGCTTACATCACAGTCTGTTTAGGTCTACAGAAATCAACATAAATGGTTATGTACTTTTACTTTTCTAAGGACATAAACAGATGGGCAAGAAACATTTTGTTTATACACTGAAAAAATATAAATGTACATACTGATGTAAAAGAAATCATCAGTTTTTGTGACAGAACTGTGAAAGGTCCCTAGATAACAATAACAACATTATAGACTCTGTCTGACCCTTCACATGGGTGTACAGATAAGTATGCCCATGTGAATGAGGCCTTACCGTGCAGCTACCAGAAGATGCCTGTACAAACTTGCAGCAATTTGCTGCACATATGACTGAATTGCTTGGCCCTTCTAAACAGCCGAGCTCTCAAAAATCCAGGTAGTGCTGGACCTTGCTGCTATGTCCCACACCCTTATATTCCTATTGGTCCATCGCTATGATGGACTGCCTCACTGGGCAATATTAACATGCAGTAGGCAGGAAAGGTTGGGAAAGCTTCAGCCATGGCTTTGTCTGTCAGAAAGGCCTGAGATCCAGCAGTGTTAGGAAGGTTTGGGAGGCTGCTTCAGGTATGTGCAGGCACCTTTAGGTCTTGCATATAAGCTCGCATTGACAATTGCTTACCGGGTTAAAAAAATTGGCCTGTGCCCCTAGGGATAACAGCCTTAGACAAGTCTCCAGATTACCAGTCCTCACACTTGAGTGAAGTTGCTGCACAAAACAATTAATATATGTTATTCTGTCATGCAATTTATACAGTTTCTTACAGCTTGCTATGATGCCAATGCTTAATGAACTAGTGACTCAGAAGTGTGCATATAAGTAGTTCAGATTTCACTAAATACATGCGTATCCTAGGTCAGCGGCTCATAAAGTGATTAAATCAAAGCCTCAGCATGACTGCCAGGCAACTAGTATCCTTTACTTTACAGTACAGATGTGCATTTGAGGTCTGTTTTGTCATTTAAAGGAAGAAACTTCATTACTGCCCCAAACCAAGAAGAGAAAAATCACTAAAATCAATATTCTTAGGAAATAAAGCTAGTACATGTAATCAGGTAGAGGACAGCATATATTATAAAAGAAGTATAAAACCCGTAGGGTCTAGTGATGTGGCCTAACTGCACACAAGGACAGTCATACAATCTTCATCTAAGTCACCTTCACCCTCATTCTGCCTTCAGCTTCAGCGCACACACCCGCTCTTGTCCTCTGGCTACACCCCAGAGACCACTCTCCACCTCCCTAGAGTGGTGAAGATATGTTATCAGTAAAAATCTAACCTATTTCAAATATAGCACTGGCTTCCCTCTTGCCTTGCAGCAGTGGGCCAAAATGCACACAGCTACAGCATCGAGCAATAGGGTAAGGCTTCTCCTTTCCAGCCAAAGGACAGAGAATTCACCTAACCATGCAACTCTCCTGCCACCAGTTCACATAGAGGGGGAATCCTAAGACAACTAGGCAACACACCCTATCCCAGTTCATCAGTGCCATAAGGAACTGTAAAACTTCTCTTACATCCAAAATAAAGTGTATACATAGTAGTCCCTGGAAGAGTGGACCACCTTGACAAAAGAACACATTATCTCTCTTAAAGACACTAGTTACCCACCTTCTGCTGACCTCTAAACCCCCCCCCCCAAAAAAAAAAAAAAACATGTTTTAGGTGGTTAAAACCTGCACTTGTTGTCTAAGAGTGCCATGCCTGAAATTTTTCTCGAGAAAAAAAAAACTATCTGCAAAAGAGCCTTCCTGATCTGGTTGATTTATCGTTGAAGGAGCCAACAGCATCCCACCCAGACCCCCACCCCCAGGAACCAATACTCACCCTTTTAATTACTAAAAATCTTGAACTTTAACTACAAAGTCACCAATCTGGGAGTTGCGTGCACAAAATAAATTCTACATTTTAACAGTGCCAGGATCTTTATATACCTCGATTACTGAGGCTTCTATCAAGCTGGAGAGAAACTCCCCATCAGATCACAGCAATTCCAGATATCGGGACAACTGAGTATTCTCGGAACGTTTAAGTGCCTACAGTAGTTTCTGCTATGTGTTGGGCTTCCAGCCTCTTCCCTGCTACATGTCCTTTGAAGACAGCTCTACACTGCCCATCCTACGGGCCTACCTACATACCTAAATACTGCCTCCTGGCTTGAGGCTGCAACATTCTTCTCTGCATTTTCACCTAAAAAGTGTTATTTTCTGCAGCCTGTGGAAAGATCTCCCTTTCTATGATAAATTTGATAGCAACTGACCTGCTTTATGGTACCACCCTTCCACTGTTCAGATCATAGGCCATTCATATGTACACACTACCAATGCCACAACACTTCCAGTACAGAAAATACATTTAAACTTTTCTGGATCTGGACCTCTTTATATGCTCACCATCCTGAACACATATGCATCCCCTCCACTGGATATTAACCATTTGTCTACCAGCAAAGTTTATAAATGGTAGAACGCTATTAGCCCCCTATGTGATAGCAATAAAGATTAACTGCAGGGCCCTCCTATCCCCCTTGTTTTGAACTGTATTTTTGCTGTATTGTCTCCCATTATTTTAAAGCGATGAGCAAACTGTTGGCGCTATATAAATCCTGCATAATAATAACTGCGTGTTCTCATGTGTATGTAGTTCCCCACATACATACACATGAGAACAGAAGAGCATGCAGTAGGTGCGCCCATGTACAAATACTATGAATACGCTACATATGAACATCAGAGTGACAGCCATAAACCTAGGGCCATCATTCCTGGTCAAAGCTGAATTCTAGCCTTGTAGCTTTTCTGCTATAGGCAACCTGTCCCCTCATGTGTTCACACTTGCTTCTACCTCTTTCCTGCATAGTTACCTGTCTGCATTAGCGGAGTTGGAAGAGGAATGAACCACCTTTAGTGCCTCCCAATTGCTTGCGATCATGGGAAGTCCTGTGCTGTTTCCAGCGATGTCCCACCCCTCATCCCTACTGGCTGCCTCCATCTGCCAATCTTTTCCTTTCTGGTACTTGTATAAGCTGACCTAATTAGCATGAACATGCCCACTAAATGGTTGAGCTCTTAGGGAAAACAAGATTGCAGTGATCTGTGGACTTTTTTCTGGCTCCTCCCACACAACCAGGGCTTAAGAAAAACACAGGAACTGCAGAAAAACTGCTATTACATCATCGGGAGAGCAAAAAGGTCAGTTTGTATACAGAGGGATTGATGCTGTACTAATTATATTAATTCATGATGTGAAAAGTAAGGGGGTCTCAGGAAATGTGTTTGTGACACTAAACTTCTCATTCAACTCTAACCTGACAACTACAGCCATTTTATTCTCCAGGGTCTTTGCTTTCAGAAAATATATACTGTTTGGGTGATTTGAACTAACCTTCAAGCCTAAAATGTGCATTTTAACATGTGTGGAAAAGTGGTTATTATTCTTCATTGTGCAATACTGAAGAACATCTCAGAGGGCAATATGCTAGTATTGATTTTAAGATGGTCGCAAATGTGTACCTGGATCACAATACAAGAATGTGGATTGGATTGTCATTATTGCCTTGACAGATGTGTGGCAACAGAGACATCCAGACAAACTCATTTATTGTGGTCACTCTGGTTCCCATGGCGCATTCTTATGTATTGAGCTAGCGTACTATACCTCATCACAGCTCCCAGAGATCCTTGATACAGACTGCCTTACCAGAGGTATCACTGATTCTCCACTTGCATTAACCCTTAGGTACACTAGAAAGGAGGATCATCAGTCTTTTGATAATCACCCCTATATGGATATCTGACCCTTAGATACTGAACAATACACACAAAGCTTTGTGCACTACTGGAAAGATAATTCCCCTATTGTAACATTCTTAAGTGGGAGGCATTCAAAGCCTTATGTGAAGCCTTCATGTACACTGTAGATAATTTGTATGAGAATACCAAGACCCTGATAAAAGCTGCCAAGAAAAGCCATGATTGATACACAACTCCAATATTTCTCTTCCCCTTCTCCTGACAAATGTCAAGCCTGGCAATGAACTCCTCTTACTTCAACAAACCCAGAAGAAAATGCATTACACTAGGCAAAAGATTTTTGAATCTGAAAATAAAGTTGGTAAACTGCATAGGTTGAAACTGAAACCTACTGACCTTTTAAAGGCTCTGGATTTGAGTGAAGTTTCTTAATACACTGGGGAAGATTTATTAAAACTGGATAGTGCAAAATCTGGTACAGCTTGGCACAGAAAGCAATAAACTTCCAGGTTTTCAAAAGCTTAATTGAACAAGCTGAAGTTACAAGATGATTGGCTACCATGCACAGCTGCACTAGATACTGAGTGCTCCAGTTTTAGTAAACTCCCCCAATGTGTTCCTGTGACTACAGTTACACACGGACTCTGGTCTGGGGTTACTGCCTTCATGCATGCCAGCTGGCCGTAACCTTCAGTTGTAACCCCACAATATACTTAATTAGTTGGCTTGCTGGAACATTTCCTGCTCCATATGCCCACTAAAAAGCTTTGTGTCCTACTCTTCTAAAGCTAAAAAAGCAAAATAAAAAACTATTCTCCTCAAGGAGAAACAGACATCTTCCCTTGCTAAATGTCTGTAGTTCTTTAATCAACACTAAGTTACCTCTTTACAATCTAACATATCAAGGAATTTGAAACAGTTTGATAAGATCTTTGGACCTTTCATCTCATCACATCACATGCTTCCCTCGCTACGCCCTGCTAATTTGTCCATGTGATGCATGTTCTTTTTCCTTTTCTTGTCTTTTAATATAACCCCTTTTACTTGCTGTTGCCATGTGACGTCTGATCATCTCTTTGTACTGCCGTGGGCTGTACACCAAAATCAGAGTTTCAGACGGTTTAGGTTTTTATTGTAATGTTGTCTTTGTTCCTGTTTTTTTTTTGTATTTATTTTTATGGCAAAAAGGTTAAGAAACCATACCGTGAAAAAAATAAAATAAAAAATCAATAGTCACCAGCTTAAATTGGCTGCAAGATCCACATTTCCATTCACAGTTTGAACAGAGGGCCAAATCTAAACCAACAATTATAACTTTTTTACAAAATTTACAGCTTATGGCCATCTCATATTAAAAAAAAAAAAAAGAAAGAAAATTAATTAATATAACCCCCCCATTTATTGGTGTCGATGGCCTCAACGCTCATCATTGTTGTAATTGGCAGCAGTAATAAACCCTACTTCAATGGTGTCACTGGCAAAACCCCTAGTATTGGTGACAGTGGCAGCACTAATAATCCCCCTTCCTCCCTTTTTATTGGTATTTATGTCAGCAATAATAGCCTTCCCCTTCACTGTTAGTAACAATGGCAGCAAAAATAAACCCCATCTCACTGGTATCAGTAGTATGCTCCCCCCTCACCACCACCATCACACACATACAAGACACTTTATTGCTGTTCAGTGGGAGCAAAATAAAACCTCCCTTCATTGGTGTACAGCGGTTTCTTACCTGAACACAAGCTCTAAAAAGGATGGCAGTGCAGTGTGCTGAACATGGAGAGCAATTCAGCACTCACTTTGCTACCATTATACATTTTGTGTACTGGCTGGGGCAGGAGAGCCTAGCAAGCTGCCAGCTGGACAGCACTGTAGAAAATGTATTCCACCTGCACAGATCACTGATGCAGTGAAAACAGGGTACCATGGAGCTACATATCTATTTGATAGACACAAATGTGCAGAAATAGCAATTACGTATTTACCTTGCTAAGGTCTTTGGCTGTAACACTATCATCTTCTCGACAAGGTAATCGGTGAACAAATGCCAGCATTTGATATTTTGCTCTAATAAATTCAGCCTTGTTTGGACTGTGAGGGAAAAAGAATATTAAACAAAGAAAACAAATATGCAGCATGTACAATACTGTCTTCCTGGAAGCCCTGTTGCCCCCATCAGATATACAAAGTTCTAACACTACCCCGTGAAGTACTAAAATTCTATAACAATTCAGATGAGTGGTTTGGTTACAATGCATAGAATTTCAGAAGCTTTTAAAAATGACAAACAAGGAAGAAAGCTCACAGCTAGTACAAAATGTGCATTTTTATTATGAATAAGTACTTTGCATGTTTTGCAGCTCTGAAATGTGCACAGATTTATTGTACATACACACACAAAACACACTGAAAATAATCATGCTATCCCCTCCAATAGTACTTGTGCAAAGAGATTATGCAAGCTCTTCTTCTACCTCCCTCATTTCACAGCTCTCTATCCTTAGCAACTGTAAAACTCTGTGTAAAAATACAGCCTCACAGTTGGGACAGCAAGAGAAATGGCATGGTTTACTTTAATTGCCTCCATTTTTGTTATCTAGGAACTTAAAGAAGAACTTCAGTCTTCTTTGGAGTGGCTTTTCTTCTCCCTCCTGGTGCCCCGAATATGGGGCTCTGTCATGCCCTCGTGTCCTTGCAGAGCATTGCGGCAAATACAGAGGGTGAAATAATTATTGAACGTGTCTCCACTTTTCTAAGCAAATATATTTCTAAAGGTGCTATTGACATGAAATGTCCACCACGTAGGTAACAAACCATGCAATCTATACATACATAGAAACCAAAGCAAATACATTCAGAAATTAGGTTATGTGTAATACAATAAAATGACACAGGCAAAAAGTATTAAACACATGAATCCTGCCCTTTGTCAGTGCAAATTAATATCAGCTGGTTCAGTCTTAAATGATGGACTATAAAAAGGGGTCTCATTACCAAGGTGTCACACAAGAAACATCTTGTGATGGGTAAAAGAAAATGGGTATCTCAAGACCTTTGCAACCTTATTGTTGCAAAACATATTGATGACATTGGTTACAGAAGGATTTCTAAACTTATGAGTGTTCCAGTGAGCACTGTTGGGGCCATAATCCAGAAGTGTAAAGTTCATCATTTCACCATAAACTGGCAACGACCAGATGCTCCTCACAATATTTCTGACAAAGGAGTGAAAAGAACTATCAGAAGAGTTGTCCAAAAGCCAAGGACCACTTGTGGAGAGCTTCAGAAATACCTGGAATTAGCAGGTACAATTGTTTCAAAGAAAATAATAAGTAATGCACTCAACCACCATGACCTGTATGCACGTTCACCACACAAGACTCGAAGAAGAAAAAGCATGCTGAAGCTTGTTTAAAGTTTGCTGCACAACATTTAGACAAGTCTGTGAAATACTGGGAGAATATAGTCTGGTCAGATGAGACCAAAACTGAACTCTTTGGATGCCATAATACACACCATGTTTGGAGGTCAAATGGCACTGTACATCACCCCATATGAAGATTGGAGGTGGGAACATCATGGTGTAGGGCTGTTTTTCAGCATATGGTACTGACAAACTTCATATCACTGAAGGAAGGATGAATGGAAAAAATGTACCAAGACATTTTTGATAGAAATCTGCTGCCATCTACCAGGATGATGAAGATGAAACAAGGGTGGACATTTCAGCAGGACAATGATCCGAAACACAAATCCAAGGAAATTCACAACTGGTTTCAAATAGGGGTGCACCGAAATTTCAGTGGCCGAACGTTTTGGCTGAAAACATCCCTATCCCTAGAGGAGATATGTGGGGTCTTATTAACCCTATACCTCTCCATAAGGAGGACCTGTCACTGTTTGCATCCCTTGTGATAGGAATAAAAGTGAAACATTTTTTTTAAGGGGACAGTGTAAAAAAAAAAAAAGTTTAAAGTGTCCCGGTCCCCCACGTACTCGCACGTAGTGGTGAACGCATACGAAGGCAATACCCACATATGTAAATGGTGTTCAAACCACACATGTGAAGTATTGCCACGAACGTCAGAGCAAGAACAATAATTCTAGCACTAGACCTCCTCTGTAACTTTAACCCCTTTGCGCCGGCCGCACACAAATGTGCGGCCTCCCGGCGTCTGGGCCTAGACGCCGAGCGGCCGCACATTTGCGTCCATGTAACTAAATACATATGTGCTGAGAGCGCGCGCCCTGCGCGCTCCTAGCACACGTGTGGTACTCGCGGAAAGGTCCCGGTCCGCTCTTTCGAACGCGACCTTTCCCGATCATGTGACCGCCGTGACGCGTCATCACGGCGGTCACATGATTCCTAAACCACTCCCCAACCTTCCTGCCTCCCGGCGTCTGAATCTCTTAAAGGGCCGGGAGGCATCGGCGGGAAGGGGTTAAACTGGTAACCTGTAAAAAATTTTTAAAGCGTCACACCCAGGGAGATTTTTAAGTAACATAGTCTGGTGCCATTTAACGAGCATGCAGTTTTAAAGCATGACATGTTGGATATGTATTTATTCGGCGTAACATCATCTTTCATATTTAACAAAAAATTAGGGTATATATTGTGATTCTTTTTTTTTTTTTGAATCATTAAATTTTCCAGAAAATAATTGCGTTTGAAAAATATATTAATTTTGAAATACTGTCCATTTCGGTTTTCAGCCAAGTGCATCCTGAATTTTCGGTTTTGGCACCAGAATTTTCATTTTGGTGCACCACTAGTTTCAAAGAAAGAAAATAAAGCTGGTAGAATGGCCAAGCCAATCATCTGACTTGAATCCAATAGAAAATCTATGGAAAGAACTAAAGATCAGAGTTTATACAAGAGGCCTACGGAACCTTCAAGGTTTCAAGATTGTGTGGAAGAATGGGCCAAAATTACACCTGAGCAATGCATGCAACAAGGTTCTCTATACAGGAAGTGTCTTGAAGCTGTCAATACCAACAAAGAGCTTTGTAGGAAGTATTAAATACATTTTAGTTAGTGTGTTCAATACTTTTTCCTTGTGTTATTTGATTTTATTACACAACTTAATTTCTGAACGTATTTATTTTAATATGTTTGGATTGCATGGGTTGTTACCGACATGTGGTGAAAATTTTATTTCAATGGCACCTTCAGAAATATATTTACTTAGAAAAATGGTGATGTGTTTTTCTATTTTACCCGCTGTATGTGTGCTGACAGGTGATTTCACCCGTAAAGACAGAAAAGGTGTGGGAGTTCCCTAAAAGCCATCTTTGCGCATGTGTGGGAAACACTGCACATACGCAGACAGGGCTGCCCGTGCGTGCTCAGATGTGCCAGAGTTGGCTCGAGACTCAAAGCCCTGCAGCATATCTGTGCTTGAGCATGGAATAAAAACATAATTCTCACCCAGGTGAGAAATGCAGAAGTGCTGTTTGCAGTATAAAATAAATGGCATAAATGTTTTTTAAAAATACATTTATGTCCAATTGGAAAAGAGGGAGGAGGAGGCAGGGCAACATGACATATACTTTAGAATGAAGGTCTGCTCCAAGGACTCACACTGTAGCAATCCTCTACAAGATGTTTGAAATCTCTATACAAGTAAACACTCAGCCACTCTCCTTATAGACACGATTATTACTGATGTTCAGAATGAATAAAAAGGATTCTACTTACTGAAGTTTATCTTGGGGATTGGCTTTACGCTTTCCACTCATTATAGATGCCGGGTCAAGCAAAGAATGTTCCCAGATTGAATTTGCTCCATTGCTGTACAATGTCTGCACCATCTAAAACATAAAAATAGCAAGTGTTGAGGCATTCCATTTCTTATAGTTGCCTACAAACAGTCCTAAGACCTTATCATTTTCAGCTGAATTTAGGAACAATCTCATTCTTTCAAGAGCAGGCAAACACAGCCACCCAAACCTGTCCCTATTACTACTGTTCCCCACCGAAGGCTTAAGATGTCACAATATGCCATCACTCAACCTTCTTTCATCATTACAACACCAGTAAAATTTAGCAAATCTTAAAATGTATGTCTATGACGTTCGACAGCCAGCAGGAAAAACAATTTGGCCAAAAGGGCTAAAAAATAGATTGCATTCTCAGGAACAAACAGAGGGGCTGAACAGAAAAAAAAAACAAAAAACACATATGGAATATTTTTCAGAGTATATCTATGGACAAGGAAATTACAAATACAAATAGCTGAAAATGTAAAGGATTTTGCACATATGCACATTACCTAGTTAGTGAGGGCCTACTGAGACCGACCAATTTAACAGCTTTTTAATGACAGAAATGTGTATCTGTTTGTCATAAATGCTTCTACCAGCTTGCAAGTACCGTATTTGCCGGCGTATAAAGACGACCCCCTACTTTTCCTGTTAAAATATAGGGTTTGGGCTATACTCGCCGTATAAGACTACCCCTCTTCCAACGCACACCAAAAATTAAAAAACATCAGATTTGATTTCAATATGGTATGGTATTCCAATGATGGGGCACGCTTCCTCACTCTGACACCAATGATGGGGCACTATTCCTCCCACTGACACCAATGATGGGGCACTATTCCTCCCATTGACACCAATGATGGTGCCCCATCATTAGTGTCAGTGTGTGTGAGGAATAGTGTCCCATCATTAGTGTCAGTGGGAGGAATAGTGCCCCATCATTGGTGTCAGTGGGAGGAATAGTGCCCCATCATTGGCATCAGTGGGAGGAATAGTGCCCCATCATTGGCATTAGTGGGAGGAATAGTGTCCCATCATTGGTATCAGTGGGAGGAATAGTGCCCCATCATTGGTATCAGTGGGAGGAATAGTGCCCCATCGTTGGTGTCAGTGGGAGGAATAGTGCCCCATCGTTGGTGTCAGTGGGAGGAATAGTGCCCCATCATTGGTGTCAGTGGGAGGAATAGTGCCCCATCATTGGTGTCAGTGACACCAATGATGGGGCACTATTCCTCCCACTGACACCAATGACACTTGCTGACTCCTGTTCTAGTATGGTACGGCTGCAGCCAGCATATGTGGTTGCAGCAGCACCTCTGCACTGCACACTTACCCTCACTCGATTTTCGCGGGTCCGCTCGGCTCCGCCTCCTCACCCGTGATTGGCCGCCTGTGTGCCTTTCCTGAGCTACAGTTCTGGCTGCCAATCACCGGTGAGGAGGCGGAGCCGAGCGGCAGGATTGAGGGAGTGGCCGGAGTGACTGAAGGAGCAGCGCTTCCTGGATGGATCGTCGTGGGAGCCAGGTAAGAGACTGCAGCCCTCTGTCCACCCCTGTACTTGGTGTCCCTTCCGTCGGAAGGAGGGGATGGCGGCAGCTCCGCGCCGCCCCCCTAAAAAGTGCCCCCTAACGTGTACTGGCGTATAAGACGACCCCCGACTTTTGAGAAGATTTTCAAGGGTCAAAAAGTCGTCTTATACGCCGGAAAATACGGTATTTTTTTCTTCAGAATTAACACTAAGCCCTACATGCACAGCTCAGTGTGTAGCTTCAACAGGATTCTGAATAACCTTTGTGTGTATGCAAGGGAGGTACTTTAAGGCAATGTAAGTCTGCCATAATGTGCAAGTTTGCTAAGCATGCTTGCACATTATGGCAAAAGCTCCTTGGGGCCACAAAACTTGTTAGCAGTTTAGTTCAGCAGATAAGGATTACTGCAACAAATGCTGCCAGGGACAGGAGAAAAAAATGAGACTGTAGGAATATGGTGTTAATATCATGTCTGCTTAACCAGCTCAGCTATATATGTCCAGTGAGTGAAGGGTTAAGAACAAGCTCATGACTGAGCATCCATAAGCGTGTCCTCTATTTTTTCAGCCAGCTTCCGTCTGAAAACCAAAAGTGGTTTGGGCTGCTGTATAAATAAAAGATCAAAAAAAGAATAACATTTATTTAAAAAAATAAAACGTAAGCACCGTTGCCCTGCACACGCACTCTCAAATGCAAACGCACACACAGGGCAAGCACAAATGTGAGGTATTGCCACGAACATCAGAGTGAGAGCAATAGTGAGGGCCATAGCACAGCGTTAACACTAAACTGATAAGCTGTAAAGGCTATTAAAGTCCTATGGAGATTTTTGGGTACCATAGTCTTTCGCGATATCACAGGCCGTGCAATTTTAAGACGTGACATGTTTAGTATGTGTTTACTCGACACAACATCATCTTTTATATTTTACCAAACAATTGTGTATTATATTGTGTGTGTTGCACTAAAATCTAGTGGTGCACCAAAATGAAAATATTGGTGCCGAAACCGAAATGGACGTTTTTTAAAAAGGAATATATATATTTTGGAAAAAATACACAATTAAAAAAAAACAAAACAAAAAAAAACACACAATATATATACACCCCAAATTTTTTTGTGAAATATGAAAGATGATGTTACGACAAGTAAATAGACACCAAATCTGTCATGCTTTAAAATTGCGCATGCTCGTGGAATAGCACCAGACTATGGTACTTAAAAATTCCCCCTGGGTGTCATGCTTTAAAAATTTTTTTACAGGTTACCAGTTTAAAGTTACAGACGAGGACTAGTACTATAATTATTGCTCTTGCTCTGACATTCGTGGCGATACCTCACGTGTGGTTTGTAGGCGTGGTCTACGTATGCATTCACCACTACGTGGAAGCACAGGGGGACGGGGACACACTAAATTTTTTTTTTACATTTATTTAATTTTTCTTTTTACACTGCCCCTTTAAAAAAAAAAAAATGAATTACCTTTATTACTATCACAAGGAATGCATGCATCCCCTGTGAAAGAAATAATTAGTGACAGGTCCTCTTTATGGAGAGATATGGGGTCAATAAAACCCCACATCTCTCCTCTACAATGTAAAGCATTAGATCAAAAAAAGAATTGATCTAGTGCTTTAAAAAAAAAAAAAAAAAAAATCCAAGGGCATAGAGACGAGAGGAGGCCATCTTTCCTTCATTTATCTCTATAACCAGCACCAGGATCATATGGGAAGGGTGGTTTTTCAGAAGTCGATCTTCCCACCGACTTCTGTACAACCAGCCTATTGGAAAACTGCTGCACATTCAGCACTGCTAGCTATACCCGGCAATGCTGATCAATGTATCAGCCCCTCCACCCCTCTTGTCCAGGTTCCCCTTCCATCTGCTGCCAGGGCCCCCCTGCAGCCCCCACTGTTTGAGGACAGAAGGAGTGGGGGAAGGAGCCACTAAATATGCTATTTTTTTGAATGAACAGTACTGATCACTCTGCGTCAGTCTGTGAATGGAGAGACTGTGCAAAGCCCTTCCTGTTCATTCATTCTGTGCAGCTCAGATTGAGAACTGTGACCATAATCAATTTCTCGGTTTCAAAAATCTGTTTTGACCCCTGATTTTCACCCATATCCTCAACAGGGCTGTTAAAAAATATAAAACTTATTAAAAAAAATAAAACTGTAAAAAAAAAAAAATAGAAAATACACATAATTAAGGGCTTATTCACATGGGTTCTCTAGCCCATACAGGGAGTCAGCTTGATGCCGCGCGGCCCCCGGCGAGTGCGGCGCGGGCATGGGATTTCCCCGCGCCTGCACTCACTGACAGACAAAGGCCGTGCTCTCGAGAGCGAGGCCCATGTCACGGGGGCGTGCCTCGTTGCCGGGTGACGAGGCATGCCGCCTGAGGTTGCCAGGACGACCAGGAGCGTCCTGCAGCAGCCTTAAGAAGGCTGGCGCAGGGCTCCCCAGGTTGTTCTGTCAGCTGCGAGCTGCTGGGAGGTCTACGCTGAGGCAAGACCCCCACAGCCACTCTGCAAAGACCCCAGGGGCTTAGAGGATTATTACCTACTGGGCGCTCTGCAATACCCAGGGATTTAAAACATTATTACCCGCTGGGCACTCTGCAATACTCCAGGGACTCAAGGATTATTACCTGCTGAATACTCTGCTAATACTCAGGAGGAGTACCTGCTGCTATACTGCCTAATACTGCAGGTCCAGGATTGCTTGTGTGCTGGAGTATCAGGACTAGTACCTGCTGTTATGACCCTCTGCTGTGTGCTGAGGAGGGTCGGTCACCCCCCCCCCCCCCCCGCTGTCGTCTGCTGTGAGCCAGGACATCCCTGCCGGAACCGTGAGTGTCTGCACCCCTGTTTTTATTCCCCTATGGACTGTACATGAACTCTCCCCCCTTCCTCTCCACTGTTTGGATTGCAAACTGCTAGAGACTCTAACTTTGCCCCCCTGAGGCCGGATTACAATTGTTTTGGGCCCTCTCCCTGCTCTTCTCCTACACTGGGTACTGAGACGCTACCTGCAGACCCCAATTGAGTGACTGTCATTCTTTCAATAAAGCTTTGCGTGTTTGTCATTTGCTCTGTGTGTTCTGTCCTGCCTACCCTCCGTCACACACACTATCTGTGTTCAGGCCATACACCTACGCCCACACGACTGTCAAGTTATGACCTGCACCTGTGTTCATATAGCTGCTGCATCCCTTTAGCGTAACATAGGCTGCCTGCACACAGCTCTAGCCATATAAAAAAAAAAAAAATTGAATGAGGAAAGAACAAACAGAGGGCGCACAGACCTAGTGCATTACCATAAAAAATGTTTATTAAGAAATAAAGTAGGTGCTGTACTCACAACGACAATAAAGTCAAGGCATGTCATAAAAGAACAGTTTGGTCAACACCACGCTGAATAACAGTCCGCAATAGGGAGTGTAGGGCTCTGAGGAAGAAGCAAGTCCTCGAAACGCATCAGACTATTGGATTTCTACAATCCCTATTGCGGACTGTTACTCAGTGCCATTGACCCAGTTGTTCATTTATGACATGCCTTGACTTTATTGTCGTTTGTGGGTACAACACCTACTTTATTTCTTATTAAACATTTTTGATGATAATGCACTAGGCCTGTGCGCCTTCTGTTCTTTCCTCATTCAGTATATTTTGATTTTCCCGGTCTATTGAAGGCAGCAAGGTGTGCATGTTCTAGGACATTCTTAATGTGGTTGTAGCCTGCATCGAGTCCATCCCCAAGCGCAGGAGCATTTGGGTTTGCTGGTTCTTTATAAACAAAATAAAACCCTGATTCACACTGTATAGGCAACAACGTTAATGTGATTGAGCCCGAAGACCTCATTCACACACAGAGCTTAATTTACTAACTCAATACAGTTTTTTATCTTTTAGATTTAGCAGGAAATTTGTAAGTTATGTTTTGTTTGTGTCTGCTAGTGTACTTTGCATATTTTAGCAAAAAAATAATTTTGATTTTTTTTGGGTGGGGGAGGGGGGGTTTGGGTTTTCTAACAAACACACTATGCTGAACATCAAATTGTTACCTGCAGAAGCGTAGAGGGCCATGGGGTGTGCTTAAGATGCCTGACTTGTGAGATGTGCCGTCCCAGGCTTCGATGTACACTGCAGCATTCATCACATATCAAGACACCTCTGTTAATAGATGCCCAGCGAGGATCTACAAAGAAAAAATATAAATACAAATACAATATTTAAAATGTGTTTCTAAGTAATTATAACATATAATCCAATATATAAATGAAAAAAAAAAAAAAGTGAGATGGAAGCAAACTGGCAAGTAAACAGCCAATGGACTGCTTCCATGGAGCCAGTGCATGACCCTGCACTCCACTGCCATATTTCCCTTTCCCAGGCTCCGCTAACCTACCTGCAGGCCTGGGATTTGCATAGTGGCCATCGCTAGATAGTGGGGAGGAGGACCGGCTGATCATTTACTCTTACTCTCCTGGTTAAAAAGAACCCAGAAGCCATGTGTATTACCTCACGTCCAGTTTCTGCTGTCACTTTCCACAGCTGCTGTATCCAGGAAAGAAGCAAATAGTGCACCATCAGTATACCATCAGTCTCATTAAAGAGAATGTCACACAAAATGGTTGTCAGACCCCTATGAGATGACACAGTTTAGTGAAGATAAAAAAATTTAAGTGACAGCCAAGCAACCCACCCCCTAAAAAATTAGAGCCACTCTGTCCCACATACACACAAACATAAAACACATATGTCGGATCTGTTTATGTACCTGTAAGGTACATCTTGCTGAAGCACTACAGTGCATGGTTAGTGTATGTGGCAGTGGGTTTTTGAGTGCGATTATCCACTGTTATTTGTCCTGGACTTGGTGCATTTTATCTTAATAAATCGTTTATAAAACTAAAAAATGCATACGTCGGAGACACCTACATATGAAAACTGTGATTGAATTACATGTCACATATAACTTTGCATGCCGGAGTAACAGCAATCATTCACTTTTAACTCTAAACCAATGACCTGTAAGGGCTAGGTAAGTGTTGCCTGCAGACATTATTGTGTGCAAACATTTGTCATCATTTCATGAGCATGCAATTTTAAGGCTTAAAATGTTAGGTATCTATTTACTCTGTGCAAACTCATCTTATACCTGTTTACAAAACATTGAGTAATATGTTGTGTTTGTGTACACTAAAATGAACTGTTATTAAAAACTTGCTTTTGACATCGTGAGTCTTAACAAATGGGAACTACCACCATTATATTCTCCCGGGTCTCTGCTTTCAGGAAATCTATGTTTGGGGGGGGTTGGGTCAATACATGCACACTTCCATGTTTAGCCCTTTAAAACCCTGAAAATACAGAATAATACTCAATCAACTAGAAATCCAGCATGCTCCTAGTTTGGCTGACTACAATGCCTCTGCTGAACTGAAATCCAAACCAGAGTTGTCATCTCTGCCTAATGGACTCAAAAAACTACAGATTCCCTTCTCTTTGTCCCACTTCACATGCATACATTAGTTTCTCTCCCAGAAAAATAAATGCAGCTGTCTGACCTGGCAAAAACCAAAAGACTCCTTTTCTAATAAAGCTAAATATGAACGCAAGAATCACGTAAAACAGCACACCAGCCTATTGCATCAACTACATACCGCTTAATGCCTCATGAACACAGGACTTTTTTTTTTTCCTTTCCCTGACCGCCTTTGCTCCTGGCAGAAAAATACAGCTTAAAAAAAAAAAAAAAAGCGCACTTACAGCCACATGTTGCACACACGTTTAGATACGTTCAGGCACAGGCACATCAAGGGTTTCAGCACTCATAGATTTCATTGGCAAGAATATTAATATAAGTGGTTAGACATGTTTACAAGTGTTTAGGCAAGTAAAGTGTTTTTTTCTGCTCCTCTTCTAATATGAACACCTATGTGTGCATGGCCACCTGATGATCAGTGTGCCCTGATGATCTGTGTAGCCCCAGCAGTGCCACCAGTCAGTGTCCATCAGTGCCAGCTCTCAGTGCTCATCCATGCCACCTGCCAGTGCCCATCAGTGCCACATCAATGCCACATATCACTGCCCATCTGAGCTGCCTTTCAGTGTCACCCATCAGTGCCAGTCAGTGCTACCTATCAGTAGCACCAATCACTGCCGCCTATCAGTGCCCGTCAGTGCCGCCTATCAGTGCAATATATCAGTGCTGACTTTCAGTGCCCATCAGTGCCACCTACCAGTGCCACCTATCAGTGTCCATCAGTGCAGCCTATCAGTGCCCATCAGTGCAGCCTCATTAGCGCACAAAAGTGAAGGAGAAAAATCACTTATTTACAAAATTTTATAACATAAAAAAAAAACCCAGTGGTGATTAAACACCACCAAAATAAAGCTGTCAAAAAAAATACTAAAAATGTCATATGGGTACAGTGTTGGATGACCGCGCAATTGTCATTCAAAGTGTGACAGCGCTGAAAGCTGGAAATTGGCCTGGGCAGGAAGGGGGTATAAAGGCTAGTGGTTAATCAGACATCATCCAGGGTCAGAATCTACTTCCTGAACTTAGATGCTGGCCCAGCATCTACAATTATGTAAATCCTGATCCTTCTGCAGTTCCTGGCTGCATTCACAAATGTTGGTAACAGATTAACTGCTTCTGCAGCCTTTCACCATGTGACTTTCTGCAAAGTTACAAGGCTGGAGACAGAGGAAATGCTTCCTGCTTTTTATTGTGACTTTGTTCTATACCGTGTGCACAAATATTAGAGAGTATTTTGACCAAATCATTTTTTTGCATATTGTCCAACTCTAAGCTGTACAAAGGTAAATGCTTATTGGATTTAAACATATCAGGTAATAAGTATTTGTGTAATGAGGGAGGGTGTGGCCTAAGGAGATCAACACCCTATATCAATGTGAGCATATTAGTCAGCTTCTTTTCCTCAGGCAAAATGAGCCAAAAAAAAAATGTAACTGACTCTGAAAAGTCAAAAATTGCAAAAAAAGTCTTTCAGAGGGATGCAGCACTCTTGAAATTGCTAAGATATTGGGGTATGATCACAGGACCATTAAACATTTTGTTTCAAATAGTCAACAGGGTTGCACAAAACGAATGTGATTGAGAAAGACACAAATTAACTGCCAAAGATTTGAGAAGAATCACGCTTGAAGCTACCTGGAACCCAGTATCCTCCAGTGCTGTCATTCCAGAACTGAAACCTACCTGAAGTGCCCATAAGTACAAGGTGTTCAGTCCTCAGAGACATGGCCAAGGCACGGAGGGCTGAAACCCAACCACCACTGAACAAGACACATAAGTTGAATCAACAAGACTGGGCCAGGAAACATCTGAAGACAGATTTTTCAAACGTTTTATAGACTAATGATAGTGAATCCTGATGAACCAGATGGATGGGCCTATGGCTGGATCAGTAACAGGCACAGAGCTCCACTTCAACTCTAACAAGGCAGAGGTGGGGTACTGGTATGGGTTGGTATTATGAAAGATGAGCTAGTTAGACCTTTTTGGGTTGAAGATGGATTCAAAAGCAACTCCCAAACCTATTACCAGATTTTAGAAGACACTTTCTTCAAGCAGTGGTACAGTAAAACAAAAAGTCTATTTTTCAAGAAGACCATGATATTTATGCAGCACAATGCTCCATCACATGCATCGAAGTACCCCACTATGTGGCTAGCCAGTAAAGGCCTTCAGGATGAAAGAATAATTACATGGACCCTTTCCCTCATGGGAGATTTATGGTGAAGGAAAACAGTACACTTCTCTGGACAGTGTCTGGGAGGCAGTGGTTGCTGCTGCACAAAAAGTTGATAGTCAACAAATCAAGAAACTAACAGACTCCATGAATGGAAGGCTTATGACTGTTAATGGAAAAAAAGGGTGGCTATATTGGTCACTAATTTTTTTTTGGAAATGTCAGACATATTTGTAAATTTTGAGTGGTTTATTATTCTCACTTTAACAGAAAATAAATAAGTGAGATGGTTACATTTTCATTTAGTTGCATAATAATTCTGCACACAAATAGTTGCCTAATAATTGTACACACATAGATATTCTCCTAAGAAAGCCAAAATGTCACTTTTACTTTCTTCAGGCTTTAGGTTTATTAACATTTTGGATTGAGAGAGACCACTGTAGTTGTTTAATAATTAAATTAATCCTCAAAAATACAACTTGCCTAATAATTGTGCACACAGTGTATATTGTGACTTATCAAGAATTTATTCATGCAGTAAAGTTACTGAAAGGTCCACTTTAGGACCAAAGTGGTGCAAACTGCCCCATAACAGTTTGAGCAACTAATATCTCTGGATTCTTTGCTAGGAATACTGGGAGCACTTGATATTGAACTGTATCAACCAGGGATCTGTTTTATGGTCACTCATTTACTATAGCTTGCCAGGAAACTTATAGCCAGGTAGTGAAAATCATCTACCTCTCTAACCCAAAACAATGGATAGAAAATTCTTTACTCTTAAGGGAACAACTCACCTACAGACATTGCAATGCACTACACAAGTTTGAGCTAGTCTGGCAGGGATGGATGAATATACCGGGTTTAGCTACACTGCAATTAGTTATGGACAGGTTTTTCCAACTCTAATGCATTCAAGAGCTGGCTACTTATTTTTCTTCTTTTAGTATATATTTTTTGATAATTTTTATATATTATGTTAGCGGTAAGACTTAGAATGACCCCATTTCTACCAGTATTTTATTAGCATCGGATATACCCACCTGATGTTTGGTTGTAGGTTTAGACATTACTATTATTGACAGATTAACTTTTGCTACAATAAGAAGGTATGTTCTTCTACTCTGCATTGTGTTATTTATGCTTAACCCCCTTGATGCTAACCTCATGTGGCCTCACTGGACTGGACCTTATGCCGTGGGGCCGCATATTTGCGTATTCACAAGACGCGTTCCCAGCACAGAGAGCTGGATTTCACCATGAGCTCCGGGTCCCGTACCAACGATTGGGACCTGGTACCAAAGATCGGGACCAGGAACTCTGGATTCTGGGTCACGTGATTACTGTGATAGCCTATGATTGGCCATCACAGTGATCAGTCCCTGTGAAGCCCGCCCCTATGTTTCTTCTCTCTGAATGGAGGAGAGACACATTGCAACTCTCTCTGTCCTTTCAGAGAAAAAAAAAACAAAAAAGTTTGTAAAATAAATGTAAAAAAAATAAAGAAAAATGTTTTTTTCAAATTAGCATCAATGTCAGTTAGTGTCAGTGTGTTTTAGGTAGGACAAAAAAACATGCACACAATTGTTTCTGGGCTGTACTACGGATACAAATAGCAAATAACATACACATACAGGTGAAACTCGAAAAATTAGAATATCGTGAAAAAGTTCATTTATTTCAGTAATGCAACTTAAAAGGTGAAACTAATATATGAGATAGACTCATTACATGCAAAGCAAGATAGTTCAAGCTGTGATTTGTCATAATTGTGATAATTATGGCTTACAGCTCATGAAAACCCCAAATCCACAATCTCAGAAAATTAGAATATTACATGCAATCAATAAAACAAGGATTGTACATAGAACAATATCGGACCTCTGAAAAGTATAAGCATGCATATGTACTCAGTACTTGGTTTGGGCCCCTTTTGCAGCAATTACTGCCTCAATGCGGCGTTGCATGGAAGCTATCAGCCTGTGGCACTGCTGAGGTGTTATGGAAGACCAGGATGCTTCAATAGCGGCCTTCAGCTCTTCTGCATTGTTCGGTTTCATGTCTCTCATCTTTCTCTTGGCAATGCCCCATTGATTCTCTATGGGGTTCAGGTCAGGCGAGTTTGCTGGCCAATCAAGCATAGTAATCCCACGGTCGATGAACCAGGTTTTGGTGCTTTTGGCAGTGTGGGTAGGTGCCAAGTCCTGCTGGAAAATGAAGTCAGCATCCCCATAAAGCTCGTCTGCGGAAGGAAGCATGAAGTGCTCCAAAATCTCCTGGTAGACGGCTGCGTTGACCCTGGACTTAATGAAGCACAGTGAACCAACACCAGCAGATGACATGGCTTACCAAATCAACACAGACTGTGGAAACTTCACACTGGACTTCAAGCATCTTGCAGTGTGTGCCTCTCCATTCTTCCTCCATACTCTGGGTCCTTGGTTTCCAAATGAGATGCAAAAGTTGCTCTCATCAGAAAAGAGGACTTTGGACCACTGAGCAACAGACCAGGTCTGTTTTTCTTTAGCGCAGGTAAGACGCTTCTGATGTTGTTTGTTGTTCAAAAGTGGCTTGACAAGAGGAATACGACATTGACTCCAGCCTCAGTCTACTCCTTGTGAAAGTCCCCAACATTTTTGAATGGCCTTTTCCTGACAATCCTCTCCAGGCTGCGGTCATCCCTGCTGCTTGTGCACATTTTTCTTCCACACTTTTCCCTTCCACATAACTTTCTATTAATGTGCTTTGATACAGCACTTTGGGAACATCCAACTTCTTTTGCAAATACCTTTTGAGGCTTTCCCTCCTTATGGAGGGTGTCAATGATGGTTTTCTGCACAACTCTCAGGTCAGCAGTCTTTCCCATGATTGTGATTCCTACTGAACCAGACTGAAAGACCATTTAAAGGCTCAGGGACCCTTTGCGGGTGTTATGGCTTAATTAGCTGATTAGAGTGGGACACTTTGAGCCGAGAATATTGCACCTTTTCACAATATTCTAATTTTCTGAGATTGTGGATTTGGGGTTTTCATGAGCTGTAAGCTATAATCATCACAATTATGACAAATCACGGCTTGAACTATCTTGATTTGCATGTAATGAGTATATCTCATATATTAGTTTCACCTTTCAAGTTACATTACTAAAATAAATAAACTTTTGCACAATATTCTAATTTTTTGAGTTTCACCTGTATGTGGCATCACTTGATCGCCAGAAGCAGAATTTATTTTGGGTTGTTCTTTGGTGGTAGGTTATGGTAGTAACAAGAAGTATACAGTTAAATAAAAAAAAATAGTTTTACTATTTTTGGGCCAGTTTTCCTTTGGTAATAAAAAAAAATTAGGAGATACCCACCAAACGAAAGGACAATTTGTCCTGAAAAAATGAGGTATAAATCACCTGGATATACAAAGTAGTTGTGATGATATGTACAGATTTACTAACACGCGTGGAAGTTGCAAAATTGTGCTTCGGCATTAGGATTTGCACTACCCTTAGGCGTGAAGGGGTTAATATATAAGGTCCTCTTTAGGAAACAGTTTCTTCCTCCACCTCATTTGCTGGAAAAGTTTTGGAGAATCTGTTTTTTTTTTTCCCTTTGCTCCGTCATCTATGGCTAGCTTC